ATGGCCCCGTGGGCCCCATGTAACCACAAGGGCCCTTTATGAGAGGGAGGCAGCAGGGTCAGGGGGAGATGCGATGACGGAAGCAGAGGTGGGGGAGGGGCGCCACGATGCTGGCGTTGTAGGTGGTGGAAGGAACCACGAGTCGAGGAATGTGGGAGCCTTTAGCAGCTAGAAAAGGCAGGGAAGTGGGCTCACCCTAAAGCCTCCCGAAGGCATGCAGCTGGGTGGACACCTTGATTTTGGGATTGTTGATCCCCGGGAGAGTAACAGGATGTGTGTTGCTTTCAGCTACTAAATTGGGGGCATTTCTTAGAGCAGCAATGGAAGCGAACTCAGGACACCTGAAACCAGCTCTCGGGGGCTGATCGGGTGGGAAGGGCGGGAGCAGAGCTGAGACCCAGGGCTGGGATCGGGTTGGCACCCCATTGGCTGTGGGACCACCAGCAAGTCCAGCCTCTGGGTGCTTCGGCTTCTTCTACAAAACAAGGACACTATCATCTACCTCCTCTACCTAAAGCTTAAAAATTTTATGAGGGTAAAAATTATAGACCTACTTTGTGAGAAAAACCCAAACTTCTCAATTACAGCTACTGAGCAACGATGCATAGAGTAGTTTTAGGAGGAAACTTTTAGAATTCCCTGAACTTTCAACAAGGATTTGTAATGAAGGACTGAGAGGATTTGTAATGAAGGACTGAAAAGTGTTAAATCTTGTTTGTTTTAATGCAATCAGCAGAAAGGCTGATAGGCAAACATTGTGCACAGGCTGAAATATGCGCCGCCTTCCTTCCTGTCTGTCCAAACATCTTGCCTTTCAAAGAGAGCATTTTGTTATGGGGGAAGGATTGAAAACAATTTTTGAAACTTTTCTCCTCCCAAGAATTACCATGAAGGGTGAAACCTACAGACCACAAGGGCTGCCTCTCCCGTTTGAAAAAGGAAGGCAAACATCCTGGGCCTCGGGGGTGGCAACGTACTCTGCTTTCTCCACAAGCCACCCAGCAATCAGTTCACCACCATTCTCGTGAACACTCAGCGTTCCTTCCCAGGGCTCCACCGGTCCGGGGATGTTTGAATCCCGTGTGGAGATGCGGCGCCACCTGCTGGACTTGGGAGGCATAGAACCAGCTCCAGTCTGCACTGGACCGAGAGCATGACATCACTACACTCAGGATGAGCAAGACTGTGGAAAGATTAAATACCCCAAACCACTAGTTCGGCTACTTTTAATGGGCAAATTGTATGATATGTGAATTATATGTCAATAAAGATATTTTTAAAAGAATGTGGGAAAGATTATTCTGCAAGGGGATTATGGCCGTGGAATTTTGATTCGACACCTAGGTTTTCCTCTAAATGACGGCACCTGTTGTTTAGTAGGTCCCACAGCAAACGGCAGCCTACAAAACAAAACAGCTGGAGCCAAGAAAGGGCTGATCACGTCTAAAGTTCAGTTTAACTGGGGCCCCCCTAGATATTTCAGCCCTTCCCTTGCGGAAAGCCCGTTCTCTCAGGACGATGTGCCCCCACAAAATAGCAACCACTGCCGTGGTCATGGCGGTGAAACCCGTCCCTGGGAGTTCTCTCCAGCATCTCTGGCTGACCAGGGCCTCTCATCACACTACGACAAAACTCACAGCTGCCACTGTAGTCTGCACCACAACAAAGTAAACAGCCAATTCTTGCAAAAGGAAAAACAGGTGAAAGGAAATAACAGCACAATAGCAACCACAGCTGTGTTTGATAGGACCATGAGTGATTTTCTTTTTCAAGAAAGCTGAAAGTTCTACCTAGGTTGACACAATGCAGCCACCCCTCATATTCCCATCAGCCTCCTGCTTTGCAAAGGGCCTTCACACCCACGTCTAAACGTGAGGTTGCTACAAAGGCAACAGCCCAGGCAGGAAAAAGGTGCAAAACGGCGTGAAGAGCAAAAAGCCCCACCCTGGTCTCTGAGGCTCCTGGAGCCCAGCTGGGGTCCTGCTCCCAAGGAACCAGTAATGGCGGACAAGCCACTTACACTTTGAGCGCCTGTCACACCTGGAAAATAAAGGTTCCACCCAGACAATGCAGGGAGTCCCCTTCCAGACTTGACAGCCTCATCTTGCAGGGACGAGGCTCCGCTCTGGCTCCCAGTCTGTGGCGTTGGAAACACACAGGATGGGCGTGAAGCCTGGAGCGCACACAAACACACCGTACACGGTCACGGACATGAAATAACAGGGCAAAAGAGTCACCTGTTTCCAGACTTGGTGACCACTTTGTGAGGAAGGGCAGTCCGCCTCCTTCCACCATCTCTCCTACAGTGGTCTTAACGGGAGAAGGGGGAGGGAGGAGAGGACGGAGGCTGTCTTGTCGGAAGGGCCATGGAGACCCAGCCGGACCTCCTTGGCACTTACCTTAGCAAGGGACTGTCACTTAGCTAGCACCTGCAGCCTGGAACGACACTCCATGGCACCGGATGCCAAGTAACGGGACACGCCACTCGAGAAGGCGCCACAGCAAAAGAGAGTCCACGGAAACAGGATAATGGAAGTCCAAAACAGAGCACAACCAGAGGACGGGAGAAAGGACGCCTGCAAGAGCAAGGTCATGGGCGCAGAAGGAGACACCAACCCTGCGATGCGGCCTTCCGACCACTTCGGGAGTGGGAGTGAGGGCTGACTCAGGCCGTGCCTGTGCGGATGGAGCCCACGTGCTCAGCTCACTGATGCGCCGTAGCTGGTCGGCGAGGCCCCGCGGACCGCTCCGCCAGCCTGGGCTTCACCTGCGCTGTGCGGAGCCTGACAACCTGGAGGCGGAAGGAGAGGTCAGCTCTGGGGGACCTGAAGTAAGCCATGCTCAGGTGCCTGATGAGAAGCAGCTGTCTGCGGGGGTGTGGCAAGGGTGCCGAATCCACAGCAGTGGGATGGGCTCCCAAAAGTCTCCTCCGGAGATGAGCAGGCAGGTGCAGGGCGAAGCCCCAGCTCGGATTTCGTTCTCCAAGGAAGCCTTTGCCTGACTTCCTTACCCGTTCTCAGGTTGCTCCAGGTGCCCCTCGTCCGGGCATCATCAGCCAGGACGCTTGTAGTGTTGTCACTGACCTTTCTTGATTGGTTATCTCCTCAACTGGACTGTAGCTCCCCAAGGAAATGGACTCTACCACACTGGACTCCCAGGGGCTGTTGGCGTGCGTGACAAAGAGGAAGGGGCTCACGGCTTTGTATTTGGTGCCAAAGGGCTTGACATACGCTTGCTCAGCTGAAACCTAGTCTCACAGTCGCAGTGCTTAAGAGCCAGTAGCTCACAGCACCCTTAGTGGGGCCAGATAGCGGACTGCTATGGATACCAACTCTGGGGGCGGACCCACGGGGGTCCCCTCCCAACTCTGTCATCTGCTGTCTGTGTGGTCTTCAGACCCACGGGCAGTCCTTTCAGCTCTGTGTGCCTTGATGTCGTCACCTCTAGCAGGGGCATTAACAGTACCCTCTCTGTCCCGAGAAAACTTAGCAGGGAGGGCGGCACTTAGAACTCACACAATCTATCATGGTATTAGGGGCGTACCCCCTTTTATTGAGCTCCACAGATGTTGCATTCTTTACAAATTGAAAACCAAGGCCCTCCACCAGCAAAAAGGTGACGACTCTCTGTGGCAATACGTTATTGCGGTGGCCTGGAATTGAACCCCATCTATCTCTGAGGCTTGCCTCTATCAGTCACCGCTTCCTGGAGCTCAGCTATAGGGTAAACTTTGCCCAGCCCTGGTAAGAGATCACACGCAGCTCTGCTTTGATCAGAAGCCACTTAAAAGCTTGGCTACCAATTTGCTTTGTCTGGGGTCTTTTGAAAATTAAGGGGGCTGAGGCCCCTGTAACTTGAAATTTAAAAAAAAAAAAAAAAAAGTTGGCCCTGGCTGGCGTAGCTCAGTGGATTGAGCGCCGGCTGTGAACCAAAGTGTCACAGGTTTGATTCCCAGTCAGGCCACATACCTGGGTTACAGGCCACGGCCCCCAGCAACCACACATTGATGTTTCTCTCTCTCTCTTTCTCCCTCCCTTCCCTCTCTAAAAATAAATAAAATCTTTTTTAAAAAGTCTACAGCTGACATTTGCCAATGTTTTATCAGTGCTTCTGAGTTTCCAGGAGCTACCTTTTGCCATTATCACTATGGGCGGTGTCCCTGTCAGGAGCAGCAGCCTGGGACCCAGCCTGGGACCCAGCTGAGGCATTTGGGGTGGCAGCCGTCCCGTTGCTGGGGTCTTAGTGTGAGTGTGGAGGCCCACGTCTGAGCCAGGGACGCCGGGCGTCACAGGCAGCAAACTCTGAGTCCCAGCGTTCTGCGCCTCCCCTTCTCCCTGCAGCCCTCATCTGCCCTCCCTTCCTACCCAGGGCTGTCCTTTTGGGCTTGGTCCTTCTAAGCTACAATCTCTCCCTGGTTCCATAATGTTTTGGGTTTTTTTTCAATCCGTCTCAGAACAGAATACTCCCTCTACTGAAGGGCTGCTCAGCATTCTAAGAGCAAAGGAATGTGCTGTAACGTACACCAGAGCCGCTGAATCAAACTCCTGGGGTGATTCTGGTGCATGTGTAAGTTTCCAGGATGTGGTGTTTACTGAATTACAGGCTGCAGTCAAGATTTCAGAAATAGCTGGTTGAAAATAATTGCCTTGACTGGCTCTGCTGACCCCCCAGGAACCTAATCCACTTACATGTTATGCTCTCCTCATTTATCATTTATGGGCATATTGGTTTTTTCCTCCATGGGGCTGACACTTTGATATTAGACTTGCTAATGAGCAGCAACCATGTGCCCCTGCTGCCTGTCCTTCAGTGCAGTCGATGGATTTTCCGTGCAGCAAAGAAAGAGCTTAGCAGTCAACCTCCTTCCACATTGCGCTCTCAGAAAATAGGCAAGGGGACGGTCCAGCGGTGTTGTTTGACACTGAAGACAGTGTATTTCCTTCCTATGCAAAACAGCCAAGGCGAAAAGACAAAAAGGCTGACCTCTGGAAGGAGGCAGGATGGAAAAGGTGATTCTGGCAGCCACCTTTGCAGCCTCCAACTCCAGCACCATGAACGTGTCCCTTGCTCACCTCCACTTTGCTGGAGGGTACCTACCCTCTGACTCCAAGGACTGGAGGACTGTGGTCCCAGCTCTCTTGGTGGCCGTCTGCCTGGTGGGCTTCGTGGGGAACCTGTGCGTGATTGGCATCCTCCTTCACAGCGCCTGGAAAGGAAAGCCGTCCCTGATCCACTCCCTGATTCTGAACCTCAGCCTGGCGGACCTCTCTCTCCTGCTGTTTTCTGCACCTCTTCGAGCTACAGCGTACTCCAGAGCTGTCTGGGATCTAGGCTGGTTTGTCTGCAAATCCTCCGACTGGTTCATCCACACGTGCATGGCAGCCAAGAGCCTGACCATCGTTGCAGTGGCCAAAGGATGCTTCATGTATGCAAGTGACCCGGCCAAGCAAGTAAGTATCCCCAGCTGTACCATCTGGTCAGTGCTGGTGGCCATCTGGGCTGTGGCTAGCCTGCTGTCCCTGCCAGAATGCTTCTTTAGCACCACCAGGCTTCACGCAGGTGTGGAAATGTGCCTGGTGGACGTGCCCGCCGTGGCCGAAGAGTTCATGTCAATGTTTGGGAAGCTCTACCCTCTCCTAGTATTTTGCCTCCCGTTACTCTTCACCAGCTTTTATTTCTGGAGAGCTTATGGCCAGTGTCAGAAGCGAGGAACTAAGACTCAAAATCTTAGAAACCAGAGGCGCTCGAAGCAGCTCACAGGGATGCTGGTGAGCATCGCCGTCACCTCCGCTGTGCTGTGGCTCCCTGGGTGGGTAGCGTGGCTGTGGGTGTGGCACCTGAGGGCCGGAGGCCTGGCCCCACCACAAGGTTTCGTAGCCCTGTCTCAAGTCCTGACGTTCTCCATCTCCTCAGCAAATCCTCTCATTTTTCTAGCCATGTCGGAGGAGTCCAAGGACGTCTTGAAAGACTTATGGAAATGGATGATGACCAGAAAGCATCTGGCTGCCTCTGAGTCCCAGGAAGCACCAGCTGGTCCCTCAGAGGTTCTTCCCGACACCGTGCCCTCCCCTGAGTCGCCAGTATCCACACCAGAAAGAGAGGGAAGTGGGAAGGCCGAGATCCCTGTCCTCCCTGACGTAGAGCAGTTTTGGCACGAGAGGGACACGGCCCCTTGTGTGCAAGACAATGACCCCATTCCCTGGGAACACGAAGATCAAGAGACAGGAGGGTGTGCTAAATAAGTTTCAGAGCAAAACAAATTGTGATTATTGTATTGCTGCTTATCAAATGTGGCCGACATTATCATGTAAAACAAAATCATTCCCTTTAGGAGTTACAAAACTTGCTTCAGAGCCTGCGTTTTCAAAATGTGCAATTTGGTAAGTAGAATGTCACGTCAGGAGCAGTGATTGTGTTTCAGAATTAAAACCCGGCTGCCCAAAGGGCTGCGCTGTATGTCCGTGCCACAGGCACTCAAGCCTGGCTAGTCCGTCCTTGTTCACAGTGGCTGTTCCATGGGCTGCTCTCTGCCCTGTATGGACTGGCTGGAGTGGAGCTTATCTGCCAGAAGCTGAACCCTCTTACCTTTAGCTTCTTCCTGAGCCTGCTAGCCTTGACTTCATCTATCAAACTTTATTCCACATAACCAAAGCTCAAAATCTATGTCCACACAATGAGGTTATTTGTTTTTAATTATTTTTAGAGAGAGGGGGAGGGAAGGAGAGAAACGTGCGTGGTTGCCTCTCGTGCACCCCCTACTGGGGACCCTGGCATGTGCCCAGGCATGGCTGAAACCCAGGCATGTGCCCGACCAGAAATCGAACCCGTGACCCCCTGGTTCACAGGCCGGCTTTCAATCTACTGAGTCACATCAGCCAGGGCTGAGGTTTTTTTTCTTTAACATAGTAATGAACACATTTCAATGAGCTATCTTCATTTGCTTAAAATAAGTAAATTGACTTCATGAAAATCTACACAGAATGTCTAGGACTGAAGATTGCAGAGTAAGAAACATCACCTTATTCTAGTTCTGGGCTAACTTCAAATCACAGCTTATTTGGGCCAAGTTTTAGTAAATTCGAACTTTGCCTTATGCCAAAAGCTGCTTCACTGAGCTTTTTAATGCCACCTCAGTGAGTCTTCAGTTTCTAAGGATTTGAGCAGCTTACCATGCGTGACTTTCTCTATTCTGACATGGAAAGAGAACCTAAAAAACTACCCTTCTGTCTCCTGTGTTTGGGGAAGAGCTGTGTTCAGCTCTTCCACAAGCTGCAAAGAGCCTGCTCCTCCCAGTATCTCCTCTCTCTCAAGATAAATTATAACCTGTGGCTAATGATGCAGGTATTAATTACCGAAGGCAAACATCAAATATAATTAATTACAAAAGGGGGATACAAATGAACTTTCTTGCTAAGTAGCATTAAATGTAACCTTAACGTTGAACTTGAACCCCACTCAACTTTTAAAAACCCTCAGGTTTGAGGTTTTAAGTGATACAATTAAGAGTAGCAAGAGAAAAAGGGGGATGGGCAATGTAGAAAGGGAAGCAATAAAATCCAATTCTGTGCTCCTAAACATATTACCAGTATAACTTGAATAGGCAGTAACTGTTCATTTTATAGCAAGTTAAAGCACCTCCCATAAACATGATTATGATATATTTCTTTCCCTGTAACATATAATAAGGACATTTATCCATGGTTCTCAATTACTCTGCAGTGGAACTTCTGAGGTACTTTCACTGAAGGATTCTCTCAGGGGAGAAAAATGGTCTTTAAGGCAAGTGATGAATAATTTAAAATATAAAATTGCTGTGGATGGAATTTTTTAAAAAATGTTCAGTCTGGATGTTAGGGTTTTTATTTTTACAAATGGTCATGGTTTGTTTAACACAGAAGATAGGGGCTGTTTTAACTCAGTTCATTACAAATTTTATTCTGAGGCTCACATGATCACATAAACTACAATTTAACCCGAGTATCCAAAATACTGTTTTTGTGATAAGATAGTTACACAAAGGGATTACCTTTAACACCTGTGATGAACTATTTGAATTAAAGGTTTTTATGTATATTACATGTAGTAAATGTAGGATGCAAGATTCCAATGTTTGATCTCTTAACTTACAAACAAAAACTGTTTCGCTTCAGACAGTTTTGGAGAAGTAAAGTCTGTCTTGAATGCTCCTTTCAAAATCATCGTTTGGCACAAGGAGGCTTTGTGCAGAGGTCCCGGAAACGGACTCATTGATTTGTCAAGTGTCTGCTGATAAGCAGCAAATCAAGACGCAGGACTGAAACAGTGTAATTTCAACCACCCCTTCATTAAGAGCTGGATGCATAGAGTCCCAACCTGATCTCTTAAAGAAATCTGCATGAAAAGAGTCTGATCTGCAACTTGCATGAGCAATCAACCCCAAATACTTTGTAGTAACAGCAGGAAACCTGGGATCTCCAAACCGTTTTCTCCCCACGTCTCTACTGCGAGCGAGAGAATGCCGTGAATGGGCACACGACACCACGTGGGACTCAAAAGAACCAACTGCTCCAGAAGCTTCCCCTTTGTGAGACAGTCATGTTTCTGTGATAGTTGTGTTCCTTTTGTCAAACACTTCCATTTCACTCTTCGTAAGACGTAAAAATCATTCAATGAATTTATATAAATAAACTTTAAAAATAGAGAAGGGGGAAAAAAAGGAAACAATCCTGTTGACTAGCAGTTGTACAGGTTAAGGCCTTAGTGAAGCAATCACGTCCAGGTCACCCCATACAGAGTTCACCAGAATTTTGAGGCATATAGTGTATTTAAGCTGAGTACTACGTAACATAGATGTGAATGTGTTTGTGTATGTGGGTGATGTGTATCTGTGCACGTAACAGATCTGTTGGTATTCCTTCTTTTTAGGTTTTGTTACAATCACAATTTGTGTAAGATTAACAGAGAAAATAGATTATCCTATTGACATTTATTTTTCTAAACATTTTCTTTATGGGGTACTGAAACTAGAAACCTATGAAGGAATGAAATAGAAGGATCTTTCTAAACTGGGGAGGTAAAGCTACAAAGAACAACTGGGGATCAAAGGGCCTAAGTTTCACGGCACGGTGTGCATGACACCTTGAAAGGACGCCAAAACAAAAAAAAGCAGCATTAACTGTCAGTGTTAATGTAAAAGGCAAAAACAAGAAAACAAAAAACAGCTAAGAGACTGAGCACCAAAATGGTTCTTTACACATCCCATCTGTTTTGTACTGCAAATAATTTAGTCTAGTCAAGCCTTTCAAAACTATGTGATATTCAAGACTTAAAGTCAACTTTTTTTTTTGTACCAAATTACATTTGCTGCTGCTTTTAAGAACAGGTTTAAAAGAAGTTTTTATAAACTATGTAGCATAATCATATACAATCCACATATATAAAAAGGATTGGTTTATTGTAGTTCAAATACATAAACTGAACATTCAAACATCTTAAAATTAAACTTTAGAAACAAAAGTTTAACATTCAAACAGGAGTATAGTTTACAGGGAACACCCAGAAAGGTAATCTGCTGTCTAATCCAGAATATTGATAGAGATCACTGAACAGTGAGCATGTTTAACCAGCAGTTCTCTCTTCTGGCCAACATGTTAAATTATGACTGTGGTTCCACACCTGAGAAGAAATTACTAAATAAATCTTCTCTTATGCTAAACAAGACTTGGCCTACAATTCAGAGGGGATAATCAAAGCACGTAAGTGAACAAATAAAACTAAAGTGTTCTTTACAGACAAAGGTAAAAGTATGTCCATTATAATAATCTTAACCTCTGGAAGAAAAGAATTCAATTTTCAGTGTTTTCTCTTTTACCCGCTTTAAAAAACAAAATCAAAACAAACCAAACCCCAACTTAGGTTTTCTTGGAGTCTGTGGTATTTGTATCTTGCAAGTTCAAACCACAAATGCTCCTATGTCTTCAATGTATAACACTGCTAGAAAGAATGTCACCAAAAGTCACTGACTTCCACACCTCATAAAAGGATGATATTTAGCTTCAAGATTTGAGACTTACTAGAGACAGCCTACATTTGAGTATGTATGTCAGTCATGCCACACAAAGAAAAGCATAAATATTTCCAAGTGTTCTCTGTCAGCAACTGTTCACGAATGCTCCTCCTCCTGTTCAGCAGATGGTTTTGCAATAGTTTGACTAATGCACATACATGTAAAAACCTGAAAGTTGGCTCATGCAAGCATTTTGAATGAATAGATACCCCTGTGGCAGAGTGTGCAGAATTATTTCGTTGACCGTCTGGTGGGCTCGGACGCGGTGGGAGGTGGGGGAGGGCCCCGGCGGTCGAGGTCATCCACGTAGGCCACGATCAGTTTCCGCCTCTCCTCTGGCACACAGTCTAGTACCAGATACCGTTTGTCATTCTGCAAAATTTTCTCTACGTCTTTCAGGTGCTGATCAGATTCCTGGATGAGCTTTTTGGATCTGAAATAAGAAAAGAAGTCCAAGAATTACTGACTGCTGTTCATAGGTCTTTCAGTTATGAGCTGGAAATGTCCATCTAGTTCCTAATTGTGTTTCCATTTTTTTTTTTTTAAGAAAAATTTCACTGCAGTGGTCACCTTTGTAAGTCACCTCAGCAAAGACTCCAAGGAGTGAAAGGGCCTCAGAAGCTGAATTACCCTCCCGCCCCTACTGGTGGTCCCTCCAGATCAGGGCTGAGGGTGGGTGGGTAAATCTTGCCCGTGCTGTACCTGTTCTGTGGATGAACAGAGGACTTCAGTCTGCGGGGCTGCCAATCCCAGCATCTTTCACAAGCTTTCACTTTCACATCTTTCACTAAATTAACTATAAAAATGTAGAAAGAAGTCTTACTTCACATCTAATTTAAAAGCCCAAGCTGATGCAAAACATTAAGGATCCTGACCAAAAAATCCAGACAAAATACCTAAAAACCACACCCTCAGCACTATCTATCCTCCCGTGCACATACCCTTCATTAAGATGTTTCAGATTTCTCGTTTAAAGGAAGAAATGCTGGAGCATGAAACAACCACGGTTTCCTGCGCAGATTACTAACATCGCCAAACTTTTCTAACGCCAAATCGTTGGGGCTGGGGGAACTCTGGGCATGCTACAGAGAAATCTGGTTTTAAAGCTCTGAGTTTATAATTTAAGTTTTTTTAAAGTATCCAGCAAACTGCTTTCCTCTGAGAAAAAATGTTTTTACTGAGCTTAAATAAGACGATTTCAAGCTTGAGAATGGTTCAGGAACACTGAATAGTCTTCAGAGGAGTCAAAGATAACTGAAGGATTATCTAGAATAGTGAAGGATTATTTTAAGTCTCTGCATGAAATACAATTCTGATATAGTTGGGGGTACTCCTGAAAAAGCAGTGAAGTAAAAATAAAAGTCTGTTTTAAAAAGTGAATAGATGGGTAACACAAAATAAGAATCGACATCTGGGCCCTTTCTTAAAAAAAAAAAAAAAAAAAAAGTAAGGCAGAGATGGGCTGGCTGTCTTTGGCCTTTGATAATAGTTGGCTGCTTCTTATTCTTAAAAATTAAGAATGTCAACATGTGTGTGAATGCATAGTATGCTCTGGCCATTAGAGTGAGGACTAGTAAAGACAACAACTGCCGACATGGAACATTTCACTGCACACACCTATATGTTATAAATTTGGTCTCTTTCAAAAGCGTCCTGAAGTCAGCTTTGGCAGTGATGTACTTGTCTCTGATGTATTCTTCAAACTCCCTTTGTTTTTTCTGAAAAAATCCAAGAAACAAAACAGTAAGATTAGAGGGGAAAAGGCAATAAGGTACATTTATTTTCTAGTAATTGTTAGGAAAGAAACTCTCTGGGCTAAAAAAAAGGAGACTTTATTATCAATTCTGAACAATCAGAAAAGCTAGAAACTGGGACTGGATCTCTCAGCTCAGTCCACCACGTCAGCCAGCCTTGTACACTCTGTGGTCCACACATACGTCTAACACAACTTAATAAGAATAGCAGATCTAGGGGTTTCTGGGCTCTGCTAGAGAAACCAACCAGGAAAAGAGAATGATGGGATACAAGGGACTGTAGTAAGCTACACTTCCTGACACCATTCACTGTTTCATTCACTAACAGTCTGTTTCCTACACAGGAGTCAGAGAGCACCAGAACAGGGTTCAGCTCACAAACCTCAAGTAACTGAGGTTCCTCTACTCCAAGGTCTCAGGAACACGTAAGAACCAGAGATCACATTACGGTGTTCTACAAGTGCAGCTTAAGTCAGGCGCTTTGATAACTGCCAGCCTGAATATGTCTATCTAGTGGATCCTGGCTATAACATAAATTAAAACTATGTCTTCATTGAATCTCTAAAATCCCAAAACACAGGTTAAGTTTAACAGGTTAAGTTTAAGATTTTCATTTATTTTTAGAGAGGGAGGAAAGGAAGGAGAAAGAGAGGGAGAGAAACATCAATGTGCAGTTGCCTCTGGCGTGGCCCCACCTGGAGACCTGGCCCGCAACCCAGGCATGTGCCCTGACTGGGAATGGAACCGGTGACCCTTTGGTTTGCAGGCTGGCACTCAATCCACTGAGCCACACCAGCCGGGACAGATTAATTTTTAAACATTTTTAAAATTAATTTTAAAGAGAGAGTAAGGCAGGGAGAGAGAAACATCAATTTGTTGTTCTGCTTATTTATGCATTCCATTGGTTGCTTTTTGCATGTGTCCTGACTGGGGATTGAACCCACAACCTTGATGTATTGGGAAAATGCTCTAACCAACTGAGATACCTAGCCAGGGCCCCAAGGATTAATTTTTTAAAGTTTTCATTGTGCTATGCTGTCCTGTTAATATATTGCGCAAGGAAAGAAAAAATAGAAACTTAAAACTCAGATTTATTTCTCATACACTTGAAGGTTATTCAATAAAACCATCAGCTTAGTTGTGGTCAATATACTAGTGATGCTAAATAAGCACCTAATTAATGTTTATAAAGTCTCTCTCTCTCTCTCTCTCTCTCACACACACACACACACACAGCCCTCAGGACAAAATCGTCTTACCCTGTCACTGGAGGAGAACTTAATGCACCGAGGATCTTCCTTAATGATTTTTTTTACTTCTTTCCATGTGGATGTTAAGGTAATCTTTGAAAAGACAAGGTGATAAAAAGCATGAACACAGCACACTTTAACCGAGGGGCTGAACTGCAGCACACATGGTACGTAACGTTACACACTGACCCTCAGTCTCCTGGAATGCCAAGCGTAAGTGGACTAGTTAGGGACAGGGAAGCGGCTTTAACGCAGTTTGTTTGTGCTGGATTCCACAAGAGTTATTTTCATGGCCATACTTTCAAAGTAGCCTAAGACAATCACCTGCAAACCCTGTATCTCCAGGTGCAAAGTCCTAACTTTGGAAGAAATCAGCACCAAAAGAGAGCAGATAAACAGGAGCAAACCCTGGACAACAGAGTGTACACACTGACAAATAAGGGGCTCTGCACCAAATTGAAAATGGAGCAAAAGAAGGAATTTAATAAATTTAGTATATAAGGAGTGACTGATGATGGATCACACAGGCTAAGGACATTCTGAATAGTAGCCACAGGAGCAGATATGAACTTGAAAACCACAAGAAGAAATAAATTTTAAATAGCAAGTACATCATCGACATTTTACTCGAAGTGTCATAACCCATGAATTCCAATAATGGAGCTAAAGACTAAGACACCAAAAATCACGCTAACGTTTTACCTTTTGGAATTATTAACAAAGATTCATCTAGATTAAAATAAGAGACTCTTACTGCAGAAGTCTCGTCCAGAAGTTGCCTAAAGTGCTCCCTCTTCTTTTTGGTAAGTGCTTCGATGTGCTCGTTAAAGAGCTTCTCCTTCTCCTCTCTTTCCAGCAGGGACCCAGACTCCCAGCGGTGATCCTTCCGCAGAGTCCTCCGCGTGTCGGACCACGACACATCTGAAGAACGCACCTGAAACAGAGAGCTCTGTCTATCACCAGATTTATGTTTCCATGCTTCAACAATGAAAGGCTTATTTGTTTAGGAATGATACATTTAAAAAAAGAAGTTTTTAGTGACTTCACCTTAGTTAAGCAGTTAATAAGCAGTCACCAAAAATCCGCTCCTTAAAGCCAGAAATCATTTCTCAGAGTGCACCTAGCCTATTGAGTATATGTTCAGAGGTGATGAAGGATGAAGAGAAGATAACTTCCATCAATAGTGGTCTCTAATCACTTTAATAGTACTCAGGTACTCTATTTAACACCTTACCAACTTCTAGTACAAGAGATGGATACAAATCAAACAAGAAATACATGTCTTACTGTAGCACCAAGCAGCACGTGCGCACACGCACCACTCAATAAATCCTGAGCTCAAATTGGGACTTATCAACTACAATATATACTGGAAGTGACATTTCCAAGTATAGGCAAGAATTGACACGGTTAAGAAGACCAGAAACAGACAACCAGACAGATTCGCTGGTTCACCAACCAGAAGAAAGGTAAGCTGCATTGTTGGTAATGGCATTAGCAGTTAAGTCACTGCTGCCAGTGCTAAGAAATGTGTGAGGATGAATAGACAGGCAAGAAAAAGGAAAAGCACAAAAACATTTATTTAATCGATATTTATGAAGCATCTAAATATGTGTCAGGTAAATACTGTGCTTGGCACTGGGAATACAAAGTAAGTCCTCCCTTCAAAGGGCTCGGTTTTTTAGGGAAGACAGGCACTGCACGCCAACAACTGCAATGACACTAGTAAGTACTGCAGAGATACACGCTGAACACAAGGGTAATAAAAGCAACGGTGAGATCAGATCTGCCCAATGGGCTGGGATCAGTCTCACAGACAAGACGTTTGAGTTTGCTCTCGGAGAATGAGGAAGTTTGCCACTGTGGTGGGAAGTTTAAAAGCACTGTAGGTGAGGGACTAGAAGGAGCAACAGCAGGATTCTTTAAAAGGAAGTATGGTTCATTAAAGGTTAAGTTCGGCGAGGCTAGAGCCTAATTAGGGGGCAAGAGAGGAAACCAAAGCAGGTAAGGTAATACGAAGGCAGGAGAGTCAAAGAATGAACAGTCTTTTATATCATGCTAAGGAGACTGAAGACAAAATGTAGGCCTAAGCATAAGCGTAAAGAGAACCTTAACCTTCTGCAAGCACTGGGGAGAGTTGTCACAAAATCAGATCTGCCTTTTACAAAGATTCCTGTGATTGCAGTAAAGATGAATCTGAGCCCTGGCTGGTGTGGCTCAGTGAACTGAGTGCCGCCTGCAAACCAAAGAGTTGCTGGTTCAATTCCTGGTCAAGGCACATGCCTGGGTTGTGGGCCAGGTCCCCAGGAGGGGGCGCATGAGAGGCAATCACACATTGATGTTTCTCTTCCTCCCCTCTCTCTAAAATTAAATAAATAAAATCTTTATAAATGAAAGGGGGGGAAGGGAGGAAGGGCGTGCACAAGCGTGCGGGAGGGAGGGAGGGAAAGACAGATGGATTTCGGAGATGCAGAGGCAGAGAGGGAAATAAGGAAACGAGTCCATCTGTCCAGAGAAGAGAGAGGAAACTGAAAACTGATCAGAAGAAGCAAGGGAAGAAATCTAAAGACCTGACAGAAGTGATTTGAAAAGTCCCACTGACAGAAAGAAAAGAAACAGTAGGAAAGATGGCAACAAAAAAGGGGAAAAAATAAGCAGAACAGCAGAACAGTCTGGGACATTCACTGTAGGGACAACGCACCCTACATACCTCAACAACTGCAGGTAATACGGAACTATTTTCAAGAAAATCCCAGGTTATCTCCTGGGAGCAGCACACCTCTAGTCCCACATCTCACACCACCTCCATGGGCACTAAGTGGCCATCACAGTGATGACCCCAAACCATCAACAGAAAGGTCAGTTATGTCCAGAACACTCTGTTTCTTACTATGGCCTGTTGTGTTATAATAATTTAGGGTGACTTCCATCAAAATAAAAATAGAGCCTCAACACTGAAAGTCTATGACTTTTCATATATACAAAACATTAACTTCTGAAAATGTTAAACACCTACTACGGAGTTGCCTATTTCAACAGGGATAATACAAAGTACTCAATTTTAATATACTTTATAAATAAACAAATTGTACCACTCAATTTAAAGAATACTAAGATGTCCACTATGAGATCATGAAATAGATCTCTAACACCCAGGACTCGGCAGCAAAGACAGCAGAAGAGTTCTGCGTGTATACCATGTCAGACAGAAGGGCTTTGAAATTCTGGATCGCTTCTTCCCGCTTGTGCTGCTCCCTCTCTCGGTCTATTTCTTTCGTCTGTTCTGATCGAGCCTTCTGAACCTCTCTTTCTCGTTCTCGAAGGCTGGCCTCAATGCGGGCTTGTCTTTCAAGCTCCTTTTCTTTTTCTGAATCTAAATTCTGTAAAAGTGAAATTATGTTATGCTTTTTACCAATTGCATCAGAATGTTTCCATAATAAAACTCAGTTTGCCAAATACAAAATTTCAAACCTACTTTTTACCAAGAATACTATACACCTAAACACTTGCACCTCCTTTCCAAATCAACTACTAGAGATTCCCATATTAAGAATGTCAGTAAGAAAATTCCCAAACCTCCCACCAAACCCCCAAGCAGCAACAAATACCTTTCTAATGCAATTAAGGATTTTATTCTTCCATAGTTCCAGTACAAGTAAACACAATGGTTACCTTGGCTATTTTTTCTATGTACTGTTTGAAAAGGTCTTCTCTCATTGATGAACTATCCACCGCTTTGTACCGTGGATCACTTTCTACTTTGTCTTTTACTTTGCTCCATCGAGACTGACTGTCCAGGTGATGATTAGATAATAGTTCAAAGAAATCCGATTTAATCTACATTTCAAAACAGAATGAAGGAAAAACAATGAGAAATTCTCATATCTAAATGCTTACAACTAAAAACAAAGTTCACTTACCTTAAAAATGAACATAACTTTTTAAGCACACTTAAATAAGAATAAATTCTAGTAACAGTATTAGAATTGCTCTTTCATGAGAAATATAAAAATCAACATACATATGGGCTATCACTTAAAATATATACCAAATTCTAGACAAATCATACTCTCCAATGAAATTGTTCAGATATATAAAAAACTTTTATGTTGTCCATAACATATGATCTCAGAACTACCATGTTTCCATAAGGAAAATAAATTTGCATTTATTTTTAGCTAAAACCCAGCTGATAAACTGATAGTAAAGTCTTTTAATATAAAGCTAGTAAGAATAATTTATTTAAAAAAGATGAATAAAATTTTTGTTGAAATTAATAGGGGAATTTAGAAATAGTTGAGCACCAAGTCTTATTAACCATTATAAATCTGAAACTACTGTCAAATGTCTAAAAACAAAAAATAAAGTTTTATATTTTAGTTTCAAAAAAGAGCAATGTGTTTATCCTTAAATATAAGAAAATTATAGAATTTCTATCTTTGTCATAATTAATTACTAAAAAAACTATATTCAGATTTTCTGTACTTTTTAGTCATAAACACATTTGCCTTTACCAATACGTAACTAAGAATATGTGTTAATGAAATAACATACATAACAACTGAAGTATCAAATTAGTAATATTATACTAGAAGCATTAAATAAGATTAATCCTTTAGTACCAACATATACAATACTTAGAAACCCTCTCCCAAAATGTATTTATAAAGTTTTTTTTTAATAGGGAAAGGAAGGGATAAATGAGGCATTTATTTTTGGCACTTTTGAGGAGATGTTTTAAAGTTTAGTCTCATCTAAGTTTGTATTCCTCCCTGGGAAGACACCCAATTAGCCAAGTCATTTCTTCTGACCAAGTCAAGAACCTCTTCTTCACGCAGAGATTAAAAATGCTGCCTTCCCTCCTCACCAAGGGAATGAGAAATCAGGAAAGGAATCAGAATTTAAAGTGTGTGCACACAAAATAAATGAATCATTCCTCCTGTCTATTCCAACCCTCTCATTTCATCCTATAACCTCATTTCTCCTATTAGAGGACTAAAAGGGAAGTCGATATCCTTTCTGGAAAACCCTTGTAAGGTTCCAGCAAATCATTTCTACATTAGAGAATTTTTTAAAAGACAAAGAGCTAATCAGCTGTGGAGCTGCTCAACCTGGCTCTTGACTCTGTTTGGATTAGTGAGAAATACGCATAAACCCAGCATTTTCAGACAGTGACAAAGAAAACTACTTGATACAGCGGTGTAACGAATTTACTGTTCACCTTCTCTACCTTGTACCTAACAAGATGAACACCCAATCCTAGATGCACATGGTAACTAGAAGGCAAAATTTATAAAATTCATACTAAATAAAAACTTGCAAGCTTTATCAAATAGGAATCTTCCTAAGCCATAGGAATTTGTATCAACCAAATGATTTTCAAATACTACATACAAAACTTATAAAGTAAAAATTATCGAAGTTCCTAAAATGTGTGATGTATAGTCAAAGTAAACTTTAAATAAAACTTTTTTACCAAAAATGAAAGTACCTTACCATCTGGCCTATTTAATCTAATAGGGAGAAATAGTTTGCTTGGCCTTATGTACTATAACAAAAACACTTAAGTTGTTCAGCAAAAAATCTGAAAGAAGAGAATGTATAACTTCAAATGTGCTGTTCCAAAAGGTAAATTATTTGAACCACAATTTTATAAAAACTGGTTATAATTTTAATAAAAACTTGATGGAAGCTACTCTAGCAAATAAACAGTCTAGTAAAAATAGAGTTTTGCAGGTATTTTTTCATAAAATGGAAAATTACTGGTGAAGGCTACATGAAAATGCACCCTTTAGCCTGAAAATCCCCACTGAAAGGAAAAAAGAAAAAAGGATTTCACTGAAAGTCAACGTCGTTTACAAGCTTTGGATTCAGCAAGTAATTACCTTTGAACTTTTACTATGCAGCTACTGATTCAATTAGAGAATCACAAGAATAAGGAAAGAAACTCCAACATATCAGCATGATACTGGTACCAATCTTACTCTTCAATCATACGGTTAAAATGGGATTAAAGCAACAACAAAAAACATATACAACATACTTCATAAGATTATACAGAGGAAGTCATGAAGAATGTGATCAAACTTCATTAACCAAACACTGTAATACATTTAAACCCTTAAAGATGTTCTATGCTTTCATGGTCTAGTTAATAACTGATTTTGCATTCTTTAAATTGGCTGAGAAAGTTTTACTTTTTCCAAAAATTTAGTAACAGCACAAAACCAAAGTTGTAATTTAAAGAATTAACATTTTACAATCGAAAGAAAATAAAGCTGAATGTATTAGGTTGATTTAGTTGTAGTGTCTATTCAATTTCTTACTTTAACGGACACATTCTGGGCACAACTCTCATCCCTTCAATAAGGAAAAAGACTGAAGAAATGTAAGGTGCTAGAACCGCAGGAGGCCAAAGTCACCATACAGACAGATACCAATTCTTTCCTCACTAGGGAATCCCTAAACACTCTGCGTATCAGTGATTGACAGCTGTCAGACTGAAATGACTGACAGGCTGCACAGCACAAAACCGTCAAGTCTATCCACTCACTATAAAACAGAATTTATACAATAGTTACATAAAAAAAAAAGTGTTCAGAAAAAAACATTAGTTACATATGGAGAGAAAAACATTCAACTTGTAAAAAAGCAATCACACTAATCATACAATACCAATCATTTATTTACATGGCTTTCTTTAATCAAAAGTTATTACTATTAAAAGTCAAAAGTAGCAAGTAATTTATTAACATGCTTCTGCTATACCACATAAGTAGAATATGATTTTGCACATTTCCTCTGAAAAGCATAATCATTTTACACACACAAAAATGTTAATACTCAAATAATTCTGGAAAAATCTACTTTTGAGGCCAAATTTCAGGTATTTCTGACAAGTTATTTCATCTAACACTGCTGCTTTCTTCAATGAAAGAGGCTTTCTTCTCAACAAAAGTGGTATTACTTCCCTAACATTTAATAGAACTTGTAACAGTCTAACTTCCTGGAACAGGAGGCAATTTTAAGTGTCAAGAATGATTAGGCTTCAGAGGTGGTCCTTCTCCGTCGCCAAGCAAACAGGGACACTAAGGAGAGTGGCCGCATGCGTTGATGGTCCACACCCACTGGTGCCACCTCCCCCGCCACCCCTGCCTGTGCCTGCCCCCTCAGCGGTGAGCTCCTCTCCGCTCCTGACACTGCTGCAAACGACATTTAGATCTCATTAATCTTTAATCGCTGACCTTTAATTCTGATAAGCAATAATTTATACATAAGATATGTTTACTAAAAGATTAAAAGTCACTAAAATGCTTTTAGAGGGCAAAAAAGATAAAGAAGCTTCTGAAACTTAAATGTAACCACCTATAAAGAATCTTGAAATCTTAGCAGACACTTCGCTGGCTAGTGAACAGACAGGCCCAACAACCAGTTCTGGGTTTACCGGGCAGCTCAGTATTAATACAATTTAAAGCAAACCTATGTAGTTTAGTGAAGCTACTAAGATAAGCATTATGGAAGCAAAGAGGCAGAATATATACATATAAACAATTATAAAAATTAACTTAAAAGGCTAAACAGTAAATGTGGCTCCAGCTGTTTACACTCATGGATGATGTCAGAAACACAGCGCCAGCTGAGTCCCTTCCCTCTCCCACTCCCATCAGTCCTACCACTGGAGCCAAAACCATCTTACCTTCTCACCTCTGGTCTTCGAATCTTCTTTCTCTTTCTTCCGTGCAGCTGCCACAAATTCATTAAACAAGGCTTCTCGATCTTTCATCTTTTCAATTGCTTTGAATCTTGAGTCTTTAGCATGCTTGGCTGCAAATTCACTAAAAGTAGCTCTGTAACAAAATGGCAAGTGTGCTAGCTTTGGTAGAGCTATTTCTGCTTGTAGAAAGACATCGCAGTCATTTTTCCAGCAAGATTGTGTGCCAAAGAGACACAGTCCCAACCCCTGCTAAACAGCCAACAATGAGCTACAGAAAGGAGTCTAAAGGTAATGTGGTTAGAGATTTGTTTACTATCAGAATGGTAGTGGGAGGATCCACACACTGGAGAGCAAAAAATGCAATTTGCTTTAAGAGACTTAAAGAGCTCATCTAGCTCTATCCTGAGATGAGGCCGAGTCCAGCTTCTACCTCTTATTGAATTTGCTCTTCTTCCATAAGCAACTACAAAACGGGACAAAATACATAAGGCACCTGAGTTCAAGCAGTAGACAACAAACAGGTAGAGTAAAACTGAGGTAAGCCACACTGCCCTTTGCCTTGGGACAATTTCCCAAGATGCAGAGGACTAGTGTCCAAAGCAGAGCACAATGGTCCCAATGAGCTAGAAGCAGCAAAGATCAGAGTTTGGGTGCTAAAATGCTAGAGAAAGAAGCCATAGAAAGGGTGCCCAAGAAGGATGCCACATAGGATTCTCCATGAGTCCAGAGCAAGGCTGAGCTGTACAAAGGCAGAAAAAAGCCACTCCCTGTACCATGTTGCTACATGGTTAGGAGCAAAGGAGAGACACCAGAGACTGAGGAGTGCTGGGGGGAGGGGGACAGTATTAGGACAACAAAGATCAAAGATCCACAAGGGAGACAAAGTTGGAAAGTTAAGAGAAATGCCCTCCAGTTTCTGAGATCCACACTAATAAAGTATAAAATCAAACCTAAAATTACTGTGATGAGACAGTAATTGAAGAGTGAATTCACTCTTCAGAGGAAGATGACAGACTTGAGTCTCTACCTATTATTCAATTTCCAATATTCAATTAAAAATAATTGAACATACAAAGAAACACATAATCCATAGAAAAAAAGCTTAAAAACCAACAGGCATCAAACCCAAGGTACTCAGATGTTGTTGTGGGCAAATCCTTTAAAACTACTTAATTATATTGAAAAAAATCAAAGAAAAAATGGCTCAAAGAACTGCAAACATGCTGAGTGAACAAATACGCAGTCTGAGCAGATATGGAAAATATTAAAAAGAAACTGACACAATCACTTGATGGGCTTAACCCAAGAATAAAGAGAGTAGAGTAAAAAAAGCATCAGTAACTAGAAGTTAGAGCAGTTAACGATTATCTAATCAAACGAGGACACAGACATCAATGTATAGATCAAAAAAAGCTCAGCAAACACCAAGCAGCCCAAATACAAAGACGAGGTATATGAGAACTAATGAAGGAAGACATAAAAAAAACTTCCCTTATGAATAAAAGCAGTTACAAAACTTTCATACATTTGGATATATTTTAGTATTTGAGGCTTCTACTTTGTTTTATTTTTTATTTATTTAGAGAGAGGGGAAAGAGAAAGAGGTGGAGAGAAACATCAATGAGTGGTTGCCCATCATGTGTCCCCAACTGGGGACCTGGCCTGCAACCCAGGCATGTGCCCTGACTGGGAATCTAACAGGTAACCCTTTGATTTGCAGGCCCATGCTCAATCCACTGAGCTATACCAGCCAGGGCTGAGGCTTCTACTTTATATAATGATAATTCACTCATATAATAAACACTTCCATAGTTTTTAGAGGGGAAAAATAATATGCAAGCTTTAATTATAAAGAAAAAACCGGCTGGTTAACTTCAGAATTTAAAACATCAACTGGAGATTAGGAGCACTGCTCACAGGTAACAATTGCTATTTTTAAGCTTTGCTAAACAAAGGCAGAGTCTAATAATCTTTTATATGCAACTGATACTACTCACAGTTTCTAATTTCATTACGTTAATAATTTAAACAACAGGATATATCACAAAGCTGGTTTGAACAATGGATATGTAACCATAATGAAATTCTAAGGTAAAAGTGTATCCCACAAAAGGTACCATATGTAGTCCATGATAAATCAAGCACCTTGCTTTAAAAATTTTAGGACAGAAAAAGCAACACTATGATTAAAGAAAAAAAAAACTTTCTTAAAAATGTAAAAGTAACATGTAAAAATGTGAATTCAATTATTTTATACTTACATTACTTTTAATAGGTAAAATAATTAATATTTTACCAGAACAGACTAAAATGAAATTTTAGCATTAAGTTGCCATAGAGATGTTTTTATGTGACTCATCCTTTAACTCCAAAAAGTACTACATTATAAATAAAAGACTTGAGTTTATGGTATAAAAATCCTTTTTGGGGGGGAGGGTATAAGGGGGGGTAGATATTGGTGGGTGGTAAAGAATTAGGAAAAATACAATGATCAGGAGTTGACTTGAAATTGTATTAAAAAAAAAAAAAAAAAAGACAAAGAAGAGACAGGCACTGAAGTTAAAGTAATTCTCCCCACCCATTCTTTCCCTTGGAATAAGTTCCAGTGCTTTACATCTATAAACTCTACTAAAGAGGCTCTGGCTCGTGTGGCTCAGTGGTCTGAGTGCCAGCCTGCAAATCAAAGTGTCACTGGTTCAACTGCCAGTCAGGGCACATGCCTGGGTTGAGGGCCAGGTCCCCAGTTGTGGATATACAAGAGCCAACCACACATTAATGTTTCTCTCCCTCTCTTTCTCTTTCCCTTCCCCTCTCTCTATAAATAAATAAAAATCTTAAAAAAAAACAAAACCTCTACTATGGAGTTTTTGTGATGGTAGTCTTTTCACAATTCAAAAAGAAATTTAGATCAGTGGGCAGTATTTTCTCAATTTTCAGTCATTCCTCCTTATTTTCCACTACTTACCAAAACTGGTTCTAATCTCTAAGCTAGCATTAAATGTATCGATACAGTAACACGTAACAGCACAATGCCCCAGATGCTAAGGCTTCTAGTTATGTGCCTGGTGACTTTCTTTTCTGGAGTAAGCTGTGTAATTCAGATTGCTCTAACAAGTTAAGTTGCTCCAAAAGAACATCAGGACGGTACTGAGATACAGCAACACTTAATCTGTCAAATCCACAAAAGGAAAACACCTTCAGAGTCTTAATTATTCCCAGATCCATGAAAGGGATAGTTACATTTTGCTGAATCATTTGAAAATAAGATGTAGGCGCCATGAGACTTCATCTATAAATATTTCAGCGTGTATCTCCTGAGAGTAAATACTTCTCCACAACCACAACACTCAAGAAAAGCATACTAATTTTTTAATATCATGTAATAACAATCCATATGCAAATTTCCTCAACTGCCTCTAAAAATGCCCTTTACAACCCAGTGTCAACTACTGTGATCCATGAACTCAAACGCACTCTCTGGATTAAGAAAAAGCCGGAGCCCCACTGGTGAGTCTGAAAATCGATCACCCCTTGAAGACTAATGACTTTTTTCATAGCCACAAATCCTCTGTTAGCTTTATTTTCTGAAATTTGTATTAATGCCACGGCAGGTTTCTCTTCATAGTTCAAATACAAAATTATAATACCAAAGATACTATCTCAAGCAACATAGCTCCACTGACAAAAAGAACCGTTTAAAACAAGATGAACTTATAAAAAGTGTTACTTAACCCAGAGACTCCATGAGTCCAAACTATAGTTTTAGAAATTCTCCATGTTCTGGGGTGTTCACAACCACCTACTACTACAACTAAGGCAAAAATAAGAAAGTGATTCTCCCACCCGGACCGCCTGTGTCATACTGGAGTTTGGCTGAAATCCCACATTCACGCATGCAAGTTACTTAATTTGCTGTCTTACTTCCCTTCTCTGTAGGAGAGGTATGACATGGGCACCTAAATCACTGTGGCTGTTTTAAAGACTGAATGAGATAATATATGTGCCTGTGCACACACAAGCACTTGAAGATATATGTATACATATGCACCTAAAGTGCACAAAAAAAAATACCCAATAACTGATGTTATTGTTGTTATAATGCCAGGCACATAAGTTAAAATGTCTCATTTTCTTCAGCCCACTACATTATTCACTACATATTAACAATCAATTAAAAACACTGGACAAAACTATAACCCAGACACTTACAAAACTGCAAGGTCCTTCACCACTTCAATCAAAATAATATCCCTCCCTGCTCTGCAATTTATTATATGTAAAACTTTAACAAGATAGGGACAGCCTTTCTATGATTTACCAGTTTCTAGGGATGAAGACTTGTTCCCACAGGAACACATTTAAAACAAAGGTCTCCTTCGGAAAAGCAGTGCCTCTCCCAGAGCATCAGGGATCCCTCCACAGGACACAGATCAGGGATGAAGATCAGAAAAGCAGAAATCAGTGATCGTATCCAAACCTCCAAAATAGCTCACATATATGCATATATACATTTATACATGTAAATGTATACATACACATTTATACATACACACATACATATATATGGATACAAATTTTAAACTGACCTTAGGAGAAAACACACACATCGTTTGACAGTGGGCAGTAATGAACCACATACCTTGGATTAAATTTTGCTTCTTCCATCATTTTTTTGAAATCTTCCTTGGCTTGCATAATTTTGTTTTTCTTTTCCCTACGTTCTTCCTCCGCCCTGGTCTTTACATATTGATCAAATACCTGTCACAAAAATAAACCAATTTGACAAGTTAGTCATTCATAAAGGTAATTTAACTACCAAACTATGGAATCTATAAAAAAATACTAACTCATCTCTGCCCAATCTATAATAAGAAAAGTATAGGCAACTCCATTACATGCAGATTATCTATAGCAATCTCACTTTAAAGCTCTGTCGACAGTATTATAAAAGCATACAACCTTCTGCTTAGGCTTCCAGAATAGAAAAAAGTTAAAAGCCTCTTTAATTTTTATTTTTCCTGATTACATATTGAATACATTTATTTAAAAAATTTCAAGCAATTTAGAAACGTTTAAAAGAAATCACAATCCTATCAAATCCCTTCTAGAAAAAACATTAATAGTATGGAATCTATATTTAACTTTATTTCTCTGCTTCTCTTTAAGACATAATTTTCACCAAAATAACCATGCTTTACATCTATTCTATTTTTCTCCAGTTTTTATTTTTATTTTTATTTATTGAGAGGAAGAGGGGCAAAAGACAGACAGGCACACATTGTTTTTTTTGTTATACCCATCTGTACATTCATTGGTTGATTCTTGTATGTGCCTTGACCAGGAATCAAACCTGCAACCTAGGCATATCAGGATGACACTCTGACCAGATCAGCTACCTGGCCGGGATTTCACACTTAATAATTTATAGTCAAAGCTAACTGAATATGCACATCTATTTCCTGCCTTCTACAAACACTAATAAAATGATGGTAGAGGGATTTCTTTTTTAAAGTTATAATAAGAACAAGGAAACGCAAAAAAGAGAAACAGTGACTCTGGAAGATGGAAAGCAGACAGACGAGTTGTAAAGGATTTGGCAGACATGGGAAAGCTGACCCTAAACCAGCAGTGATGAAAACAAAGGAATTAATGAAAAACAAATTGTTTCTCTGAAAGACCAAGCAAGAACTTCTAACGTATCCTCCCACTTTTATTAAAATCACTGGATAATTGGTTTAAAAAGAAATAAAAGAAAGGAAGAGAGGGAGGTAAGGAACTCTCATTGTTATTATTATTAAAGAACTCTCAACAGCTCAGGGATTGGGGGCACCACACACCCACAGAGGTGAGAACGTGGAACTGCTACAATAAGGCTATTCAGGAAGCAGTTCAATCCCTAGATCCCCTTTGCCAAGTTTATGCACCTGGGGGCACTGCCACTCCTGAACTTCATCAGTAAAAGGCAAGTAAGTGCTTATTCTCTAGAGCAAGTGTTGGCAAATCATGGTCTGCTGGCCCAACTGGCCTGCTGCCTGTTTTTATACAGACCAAGAATAGCTTTGACCTTCTTGAGGGGTTGCTGAATAGAGAAATAGAACTTTTCATGATATATGAAACCCAAATTTCAGTGTCCATACAGCTTTATGTGAACATAGTAGTGTTCACTCCTTTACATACATCTGTGGGTGCAGTTACACAATTGTGAAAGAGATCGCAGGAGGAACATGAATTAGGAATGAAGCATACGAAACTGAGAACATAGGGAACTAAGGAAACATTTACATATTCAATACATATTACGACACAGCTCCTGAGCTCAGAATCAGAACAGCAAAAATTGTCACTCCACCTGTCACGACCAGAAGAAGCTCTTACCCAGAATCTGACCAGCCTAAAAATTACTTGCTCCAGGGGATCCTTAACAAACCCTAGAGCAGGAATTCTCAACCTCAACATTTTTGACATTTTGGGTAGGATGATGTTTGGCAGCACCCCTTCTGCTACCATAACCAAAGTGCCCCTGGCCAAGAACCACTCCTCTACAATAAAGCCCCAATCATAAGAACCCAGCTAGAGCTGGCACTTCAGCGCTTCACTCCGAATCTTGAGCAGTCAGAGCTGATAAGACTTCTAACGCAACACTCCATCTTGAACAATAGAAACCAAAACAGAAACACCTTGGTAGAAACAAAGACTATGCAGGAAAATGATATTTTAAAAAAAGAAGGCAAAAAATTGCAAGCTATCTCACAAAACTGAGAGCGAAACCACAAAACAAGAACACTCAACAAACAACTCCTAGAAACAAAAACATGACAGAATTAAAAAATCTAATTGAAGAGTTAGACAAAAAAGGTGAGAAAATCATCCACAAAGTTCAAACAATATGCAGAGGTAGAGAAAGAAAAGGTAAGAAACTTTGAGGACCATCCCAGAAGGGCAAAATCTGTCCCAGAATGAAAAAAATAAAAGTTAGAAGCAAATCAAAAAAGTAATGCAAGAAAACCTCCCGAAACTGAGAGATTGTGTTTCCACATTCAAAGAGCCAGCATATGCCCAGTACAATAGGCCTTTCCACCAGGGCACGTAAGCACCATGAAACTTCACAACACTGAGGACTGAGGAAAGACCTGGCAGGCTCAATAAACAAACAGGTCCATACACAAAAGAACCAGTGAAAACACCACCAAAACCAGAAGCAGAACAATGGCTTCAAAATCCTGAAGGAAAACATTTCCAACCCAGTCAAGCAATCTCAAATTAGGATACAAGAAACACATTTTTAAGTATGTAAGGCCTCCACCATTTATTTCCTATGCACGTTCTCTCAAGAAGCTACTATAAGAATGGAACACATCAAAAAGGAATAAACCAAGAAAGAAAGGACTTACGATGTAGGGAACAGGTAAACTCCCCCTACTTATCCTCTTAAAACAAAACAAAACAAAACAAAACAACCAAGAGAGATGAAGGAAATCCCCCCAAGATAATGGTAAAATGCTGTCATCCTCAAAAATGACAGCTGTGTATCAGGTGCAGAGGGAAACCAGTCCAGATGGAAGTCAGAAGGCTCTGGAACGTCTTCAGGTAGATAAAATTGGGGCAAAACTCTTAATATTTCTCCTAACATACCTTACAGAATTATTTGGCTCTCTAAATATGTACATGTGTGTATCTTTGGAAAAGACAAAAAATGTTTTCTTTAAAATACTGCTGGCACCTTCCCAGGTCAGTCTAACATGTACCCACCTATCTTCAACAGCTTTACAGAAATGTCTATAATTATCTCACTGGTCCCCTGCTAGGCAGGTAGGTCATTTTCAATACTTTCTAAATATAGCACTGCAGGAAATCATGAAGTATTTGCATGCTGATGGGAGAGGGAGAGTTGTTTCTAATTCCTCTCTCCTTTCTCAGTACATACTTTCCCACTTATAAAAAAGTATTAAGAAGTTTCTCTCGAGAAACTGGAGAAAACTTTACATCTCACACCAAGGTTAGGAATCATTCTCTAAGAAGAACATCGCATAGAAAATCAGGAGTTCTGTTACACCTCCAAGTTCCTCCTAATTATTGTTCATTCTTCCCAAAACACTTAGCTTTATGTTCTCTGTTTTAAGCAGTTATTTTCTTATAACATGAACTTATGAACAAAATGTTATAGAAGTTAAGTTTTAAAAACAATTCCTAGTTCAGTTCACTTGATAGGCATAATCAAATACATAGACACATACTAAAGAGCTATATACTGTTTAATCCTCCGAGGAATGCAGCCCCGGGGGTGCTGGTAATATTCCATTTCTTCCTTTTCCTTAAAGCCACTTTACTGAAGTATAACTGACCTACAAAAAGTTATACATATTTAACCTGAGTTTGGAAGTAAACACACATCTGTGAAACCGTCACCACAAGCTGTGACGTGAACATTCCCATCACCTCCAAAAGGTTCCTCCTGCCCTTTTTATTACTGTGTTTGATAAGAACACTTAAGATCTATGCTCTCAGCAAAATTTTTAGTGTACAAAACAGTACTGTCAACTACAGGCAATATGGTGTACAGATCTCTAGAACTCCGTCATCTTGTACGACTGCTTTTATTTCCTGAGCCTGGTAATTAATTACATGGTATGCTCACTTTGTGAAATTAACCCTTATGATTTCCCAACTTTTTTATATGTATATTTTTCTTCACAATATAAGTTTACAAAATATGTGTGTGACACTGTGATATAAGAAGAAAATATATAGATTTGGTCTGTCTGAGCTCCTGACCAGTGCTCCTAAAATGCCGTATAATTTCCTAGGTGATCTGGTTTTTTGTCCTGTTCCTGAAATAAGGGAGAAAAAAAATAGTCCTTCATTATTCATAACAAGCCCCTTTCCACCACAGCCAAGTTTATGTCAATGAAGTGATTTTGGGAAAGCCTTTAGATAACCACAGGACAGGGGCTGGTACTGACCATGTAATCAGAGGGATGGGACCTTCAGTCCACTCTCAACCTGCAGGGGGAGGGGCTAGAAATCCACAATGGCCAATGATTTAATCAATTACGCCTGTGTAATGAAGCCTCCATAAAAATCCTAACCAAAGGCGTGCAGAGAGCTCCTGACCTCCTGACAATGAACACATCCACATGCTGGGAGTGGGGCATGCCTCAACTCCACACGGACAGACCTTGTCCTTTGTATCTCATCATCTGCCATTCATCCTGTATCCTTAGCATATCCTTCACTGTAAAATAACCCAGTAAACAAAAGGAAACATTTCCCTGAGTTCTCACAGCAAATTAATTAACCTGAAGAAAGCGTCATGGGAACCCCGGAAACACAGCTGAGTTAAACAGAAGCGTAGGTAAGCTGGGGACCTACAATTTGTGACTAGTGTCTGAAGTGGGATCACTCTTAAGAGGACTGAGCCCCTAATCTGTGAGGCCTGATGCCTACTCTGGTAAACTGTCAGAATTCAATTTAATGGCAGGACACCCGGCTAGTGCTCGGAGAATTGGTTGGTATGGGAAAGAATGTACACACTGTTGTCTGAGTATTCAGTGTATAGAACAACAGTCTTTCCTTTCCAACAGATCTCCATTATTTGATTGTCACATCAATGTAACTCAATTTATAATTTGATACTGATTAGGTAAACAGTGGCCTAGATGAAACAGGTGACAATCATGAGTAATTACTGGTGTATTGGTAATGTATTGCCATACTGCAACACTCTCAATCTTAAAGAGCTCTGAATAAGGTACACTATATGAAAACACTTAATTTTTGAAATGTTAGCATAACTTCTTCCTACATCAGAGCTTAACATCCTGCATGGAAATGGCCTGGTTATTTTGGAAAATGCCACACATTTTAATTTGTCTTAACAAATAAAAATGTTTCTGATCCCTTAAGTAACCTTTTATCAAAAACAATAAGAAAAATTAGAAGTTAAAATTTATGGTAACAATGATATAAAATACATCTTTTATTATGATGTGTGTGTATTTATATATATTCTACAGATAACTAACAAGACTGAAAGAGATGTAATTTTACATTGAGGTATTTTCAGTGAAAATTAAGTTTTTTAAAATCAAAGCACAAATTTCAGATATGAAGTTATCATGTGCAAATATGTAATCTCGTACTCAATTACCTTCTCCTTGATTTTATACTCCCAAGAGAGTATTTCACAAAGTACTGAAAAATATATGTATTAAACCCAAATGTTAACTTCTCCTTTCTCTCATTTCTTATACTCAAGTTATACAGTAACAAAAAACTTCTACTTGAAAGGCCTGATAACCTTTAAGTAGAGTTTTTATTCAAAATAGAACAATGCTTAACACTCTATTTAAGTGTAAGGAGGTAACACTATCATCTTACAAAATATTTCCAAATCTGCCCTGGCTGGTATGACTCAGAGAGTTGAGCACAGGCCTGCAACCCAAAAGGTCCTGAGAACTGACAGGTCTCTGGTTCAATTCCCAGTCAGGGCACGTGTCTGGGTTGCGGGCCAGGTCCCCAGTTGGGGTGTACAAGAAGCAACCGATTGATGTTTCTCTCGCACACTGATGTTTTTCTCCTTTTCTCCCTCCCTTCCCCTCTCTCTAAAAAAAATAAGAATCTTCAAAACATTTTCAAACTTCAGAAGGATTTTAGTTCCCAACATTTACTTGTAATTCCACTCAGTCAGAAACTATAATACTCAGTGCCATAAATATTCTTAAGTGAAATCATAAAAAATTTTAAAGTCTTCAATATTTAGGTTAAGCATTGTTCTAGGAATTACACTTAAAGCAATGCATAAGACAAAGTTCCTCCCCTCACAAAATTTACCTTCTACAGAAGGAAAAGACAGGTAATTTTAGACAATGAGAGCTATGACTGCTATAAGATAGTAAAGAAGGCAGAGAGACAGGTTGACCTGAAGGCATTTGAGTACCTGAATGAAATGACAGGCTCGCTGTGCAAACACCTGAGGGAGAAAACATTCTAGGCAGAGGGAATAGAAAGCACCAGAATGTGCCTGAGTGCCTTGTCCAATGCATATCAAGACCAGCTGGCTAGAACAGATAAGTTTAAGAAAAGGGCTTCAAAATGTATGCAGGCATAAGTGTATGCACAATCTTACACGCCATATAGTTCCATTCTGTCCTAAACACAATGGAAGTGCTGCACAGATTTTAAGCAAGTGAACACTGCCTTAAATTGTCACTTAAAATTCAAAATCAGTCTAGCTGCTGCGTGGACAAAGAACTTGACTACGGAGGAGCAAAACCGGAAGGCAGCAGGGAGATCAAGCGGAGGCTCCACAGGTGGCGACAGCTGATCACGGTGGCTTGAGTTAGGGTGTTTGTGGGAAACAGTGAAGGGGTGGGACTGAGAAAAGTTTTTAGAGGGAGATTTGCTGACAGACTTGAAATGTACCTTGAGGACAACTAAGGAATTACGGTTGATTTACAGGTTTTGATAGGGCCATCGACTCGGGTGAGAATGAGACCGTCACACACAAATCATTTGTTTTTTTTTTCTTTAAATACTGTGCTTGAAATGCAGATGATGAAAAGATATTTGGAAAATCATGTATTTCTGTTACAAGTACTAAAATATATGTCTGGCATACTGTAAATTTCCTCTTTTCATAAAAACTCTCAATTAGGCTTACATGCAGAATAACACAAACTGTGTACAGAATTATTCCAACCATTAAATTACAAACATGGAAGATGGACACTACTGTTCCCAAATGAAATCTTGTAGCTCAACAGCTCTGTAGCAAGTGATCCAACATACTCACCATTTTTTTTACAGAGACCAGTGGAGAGGCAAAACAGGTAATTCAATAATTATACAAGTTGGAAGTGTGCAATGCTTTAGAGGAAGAAGCAATCACCGTGAGATGATATGTGTTAGTGAATCATCACAAGAATAAATGGCAACAAAGCAACTCGAGCTCAGCAGAGACCCCAAAGCACCCATTTCTCTAAGCTTATGGTAAAAAGACATTTTGAAAGATGCCACTCAGATATCGGACTTTGTGTATGTGTGAGGGACGTAACATGCTCTGAGTCTTTTCTATCCTCAACACACACACACATCAGAAAGGCTATAAACCCATGTTCAATGCTGGTTCTATCCGTTAGGTAGAATTTTAAGTAGCCTTCTTTCCCTTTTTACTCATCTATATTTTGCTGCTTTTTCACCCCAAATCGGCATCATTTTCAAATTAATGAATGCACTTGAAATGAATTTTGAAACCTTCTTAGATATGATCTCAGTGTATACAAGGCATGAGGATAAAATGTTCATGAGGCAAGACCTTTGTCCACACACACAAACATGTCCACACACGTCTGCAGCAGAAATGTCCACACAGAGGAAGGATGGCTGGGTTGTAAGATATGACTGTGTTTTTTAAAGCACTGTGTTAGGAAAACGAAAAAAAAAAAAAAAAAAATTATACTGGCAAGTGACACACATTTCTTACATAATGTTATTTTCCTTTTACCTGTTTTCTCTCTTTAGGGTTGAGAAGTAAGTATCGAGGATCAAAAACTATCTTGTGCAACTCCTTCTCCCATGTTGAAAACGCGGACACCTTTAAAATAAAAAATGCATTGCCCTTCATGATTAAGTTGGCTCTAAAAACATAAAGGTCATATAATTTTGCTTGAAATCTATAGGACATCTGCTTAAAAGGAGACATCATAAAAACCATCCTGAAGTTTCCATCACTAATAAATGACAAGCAGTGGGAGGTGAGCAACAGCAAATTTCCACACTAATTGGCTCTGAACATTTCTATATTGTGTAGAAATAACACACACCTAATCACTCATTAAAATAACCACTACTGTGTGACATTTCAAAAATCAGTACATCAGAAAAAGCCTTGAAGATCTGTATTTTAATTTTCAATGCTTGCTCCAATCTTGTGAACAATATCATGATTTAAAATTGAACAATTTTACTTATTCAAATGAGTCTGTGAATATAACCAAAAGAAACCCCTTCTCAATTAAGCTTCATTAATAATAAGATCATGAAGTACCAGTTCTTTAATCAAAAGCCATTCTTAAGATATTAAAGGAAGAATTATGTATACCTTACCTATTCCAAGTACTCCGTCATTCTGCAATGTTAATATTCGTCTTACATTACTCACCAAAATTTAATGACCCAATAAATGTTAATGTTATTTGTACTTAAAAGGATAGTAAATGGCATTAAGTTAAACATGATAAAATTAGCAAGAAAAAGGCTGCCTGAAAAGATAAAGTCATTTGACAGGCTCCCCTTACCTCCCCCCCACAGCATGAGCACTAACCTTAGATTTGACCTTTTAGCAAGACATATTTATATTACTTATACAAAACAGAAATATCTCCCCCAAAGATTGTTTTCTGACCCCTCTCTCTAGCAGCATGTCCTTGAACTGCTTCATTCGGGCCTCCAGAGGGACAATGGCCCTTTCTCGGGCAGCTTTAATTTCAGCTTCCATTGCAGCTTCTTTGTCTGAATCAATGTCTTTATTATCGTCTCGCCTATAAAAAATAAAGTATAAGGCATCAACTGACAAAATATTAATTAAAAATCTTACTAAAATCTTAAACAGAATATTCAAGACTCACTACTAAGCAGCATATTTTTGGCAAAAACAAATTATATTGAGGGTATCAAATGAACTCTAAGGGATAAGCAACTTTCTGTTTATAATAATAAAGTTATAATAAGCATCTAATGATGTTACAATGGCTACATTGTAGGAAAAAATACATACTTTTACTCTCCCTGACACTAGATAACACAAAATGAACTACCTTACTTAAAAAAAAAAAAACACTTATCTTACACTGCAGTAAAACTCTATGTGTTAGAATTAAATAGCACAGAATATTTTTAGTTCTTGAAATGATATAGAAAAAACAGTATTGTCCAAAATGCTTTATATTATAAACACATAAACTATTTTAAAACTCTAATAAAAAACTGGTATAAGTCTTAGTCATCTAAAATATTTCTTTGGGAAGTAAAATTAAAATAATCTGCAAATTTGGCCAAGTGGATGGATATGTGTGATATACACCTTACCTACCTGACATTTTCTTTACTCACTTTCTGGGTGGTAAGTTGAGAGTTAAGTTGAAGAACAGGTCCCAGAGAGCAACATAGGCCCCGGAGTAGTTAGGTGGAATTAGAACTGTTCATCAATGACTAAACTACTTCTTGTTCCTCCAAAAACGCACCTGGGGGCTAAGGGCAACCCTGCTGCTGTGTGGTGCTCAAGTGAGATTGTGAACATGAAACTGGGTGCCCTCTCAAATATCTACACTATGAAGGAGGCCCGTTTATGTGAATAATCAAAAAAATTTTAATTCAATAATAGTTTGTGTTTGAGCAGATATTCCTTCTTAAATATGATCTGCTAAGTATAAAAACAAAGGTGGTTCATATTAACTTCATAAACTTAAGGGAATTAGGAACACAGAACATTAGAAAACTCAGAAGTGAAAGAAGCCCAGGAAATTTAAATGAAACTAAGGCTAACTGACAATTATGGTAAGTGAGAGATAATTAACAATTTGAGGAATAAGAATAAAATAAAAACAAAACAAAAAAAGAACAGAAGACATAATCCGTGACCTGCAGGAACTTAGCGAGATAGTCTGTGACCTAAGATGTGCACAAAACAAACAGGTAAAAGCAATTTGCCAAACAATATACTCTCTTATAATAATTTATTTAAATACTATTTAAATAGAGTTAAAAGACATCCAAGAAATATAAATAATAAAAAACAAATAACCTTTATAGAATTATACTAAATAAAAATGTCACAATACAAACTATCACTATCTATCTCAATAAAAGAAATAAAGAAAAACTAAGCCAGGAAAAACAGGCTTTTAGCTTTGTACCTAAATAGAGAAGCTCGGGCAATCCACATAAAGGACTTCTTTGACATTCTCCTGATAAAAGCAGTTAAAAACCTTACAGAGTTGTCTATAAGAACAAACAATTAAAAACAACCTAAAAGTTTAACATTGTAGAACATCCAAAATTATGGTACATAAACAGAATGAATACAGTCATTTACAATTAAGAAAACAAATTTCTTATTCTAGATTAAAAAAAATCAGTTGATTACAATTAATAAAAATACATTTGGTCAAGAACTAAAAAGTTAACTGGAAAACTGAAAGCAGCTGTGTTACTATGGGTGGTTATGAGTGACTCTTTAACACTTTAATTTCTTTAACACTGTGGCCAGTAAAGACATTAAAAAAACAAACAAACAGCAAAACCCTTGTTAGGGGTTGTCTTACTGGGTTTTTCTTTGCCATAATTTGGCTGCATTCAATCTGTCCTTTGCAGATAAGAACTATGATAAACCAGTCCCATGTCTTCAAACCTTCCTTTTTACACTGCTAAACGATGGTCCCATTCTCCCCACCCTGCTCACACACACATACCGTCTACCCGGCCCTTCCACCCCCTCCTAACTAGTAACATTCATATTTTACCCAACTCTACAGCACTGGCCAAGTTCATGCTTCCAATTAATAGCAGTCTCTTCCCCTCAGAATACTTTCTAAGCTTGTGGGTTTTCTCTTCACCAGGCAAAATGACCACAAATTCAAGGACTAGGGAAGTGACAAGTATGTAAAAAGAGAGAAGTCTGTGTGTCTCTATTTAAAAGCTACCTAGAATGGAGTCTGTTGGGATCTATATTAGGGAGAAAACTTACTTTTTAAAAAATCCAGGCCTAATGAATGTCTGAAAATAATTTATCAACTAATTCCTAAAATGTCATTTGGCTTCATAATACATAGTTCAATTACCAAGTCTTTTTTGCAAATCTAGCAACAGGAGGTACACCATTTCTACACTCTTAAGCAAAGCTTTTAAATATCAGGCCTAAGAGAGCAATCATCACCTCTATCTCCTAACATCATACACATTACCTGCCCCCAATCACAGCCTAACTATGATCTAATCAACGTTTAAAATCTACCTGAATTACATAAACTGTATTACTTACTTCCGTTTTTTGGCTTTAACAGGTTCATCTTCATTAAGTTCTTCCATTAATTCATGTTCTTCTTTAACTGTAAGATAAATTTTAATTAACCTCTGTCAGAATAAAAATAAGCAAGCAAACAACCGAAATATTTAGGTGTGATTCCCTCTGCTAACCACTATCAGAACACTTGCTTTAACAGGTACTACAAAAAAGCTGCAATTTACAGTTAGTTCACTTACTTGCACTCATAGAGAACTGCCACTTTTGGATGGACAGCATCGTTGGGGTTGGGTGCCCTGGCAAAGACATTTCAAATATTACAAAGAATAGTTATACCTTACACAGTCTTCTTAAAAAGTTACTGTTTATATAAAATATCCATCCCACAACATGTAGTCCTCTTTGAAACATTAAATAAAGAATGGTAATTCTATACCTCCTCTATTAAGCCTCCCTTTACATTAAATATTCATTTTGAAATGATTCTTTGATGCACATATTTATTAAATAGGTGGACTGAATATTTGAAAACAGATTCCTAAAACTCCCTTGGCATGACTCTATACCGCGGTTATAAAGTATTATCAGTATCACAGCTATACAGCAGATATTGCTCAAGGGGAAAAGCAGGGGCCTAGTATTTTTAGCACCAGGTAGGCAAAGTTTGAGAAATCACTTGTACGCAGAAAATGTTAGCACCACACACACACAATCCATTACGATTTCTCAATTATTATAAATGACACATATTAAAGCTTTACTTCATTTGAAGTATGTACAATATTAAATGATTCATTTATCGTGCTTCTATACTACATAGGGGGATTCCCTACAAACACAATCATATCAATACAAAAGCAAACTACTGATAAAAAATCTGCAATAAAAATTATTTACAAATATTTGTCTTCATTATATATACTGGAATGCTGTCAGAACACGAGGTAGATGAAAGGTACTCTCTTAATAAGGTTCACATGTTCTATGTACCCAGGCATAAAGCTTACCGTCCCTAAATTTCACCTAGCTTAAAAAGCTAGTAAGCTTCCGTGTTTTTACAAAATCTTGTTTTTGTATTTTGGAATATTTTAGTAAACAATATTTAAAAAACATACAGTTTGGTTATTTCAGAGAGTCACAAAAGGTGCTCAAAGGCTGAGGATTGCAGTGTTACCAGTCATCACAGAACACCAGTGGTACTGACACATCCTACACAAAATGAAATCTTGACGAGCACAAGAGGAAAAAAACTACACATATAAATATTTTACAAAACAGCAATTTCATCCGAATTCTCTATTTTTTATATTTCTACTACTGAAGTCAAACTAGCATAACAATCTAATTTCCATTTCTCAAGTTTCTTATGTTCCTTGAAGAAAAAGTTTTTCTAAATGGCCTCCTATTTTCTGTTAAAATAGTAAATCAATGTTAATATCAGAGGATAGATTCCTCATTTAAAACTTACTTAGCTTCCTCATTTCTTCCATTCCTCTTTTGTGAGGGGGCTCCTGAATAATTTTGTCAACATCTGCCCTTCCAATGAGGTCATCAGGCCGGTCCCACATGGAAAGCCGGGTGGTCGGGTTATAGAAGAAGACCCGCTCATCGCCAGTCCAGACGACACACCTAGGAAGTGGTTCAAGTATCACTGCCTTACGTTATGGAACACATTTTACAGCCAAGTCTTTCACTGCCATCCTGTCAAAGGAGACGGTGGTGGCGCAGGGGAAGGACATGCTCATGTCACTAGGAGTGACTTAGAGAACCAAACATGGCTTTTAGGAGAAGAGAGAGGACTAAGATTAAAACAGCAGTTTAACAAATTGAAAAAACCAGGAAAAGCAAAGCAATTTGTGGTCAGAGTTTAAAATGTTCAGGAACTCAGTCGCGCACACTCAAATTGAGAATGCTACATTTTAAAGTACCAAAGGATAAGTTTCATGGCAACAACTAATGCAGTTACTCAGTTCTAAACTACAGAGACACACCACAGCGCCCTACTACATAACACTTCATTTTTCTTACCAAACCAATATTACTGAAATGCCACCTTCTACAAAGCCTTTATATCTGATCATATCTGGTTTTAAAGAAAAGTGCTGATTGCGCTATGGCACTGTCGCCCACTGTAGCTCACTGTTCCTGTTCATTATAACCAGCAAGTCGGACAAACGGAAAAAAACAAACAAACACCACAATTTTGTGAGGCCTCTGTCAAGTAAAAAAAAAAAAAAAAGAAGAAGAAGTATGTAGGAGAGCCAAAACCAGAAAGCAATCATGAAGGTGTGCACATCCCAGCTCTCCCCCTCAAACCTCTGCCCTTCGGGCGGCTCCCGGTCACACACTGGGCGTGACAGCAGCATGGTACAGGCAGCTGAAACTCCCGTAGAAACCAGGTCTTTTTCAGAAAGAAAAATCAAGTTTATCAACAGCTGCCAGGCCCAAGGTAACCCAGATGTTCAAATTATCAAAGTCACTATGACTGAAATAAGACAAAGGCTTTATTTAAAGCAGCAGTTACAATTAGGTTTCATGAGATAAAGAAAAACAAACTTAATGAAAAGATAGGAGTTTTCAGCACAATAAATAGAAAATGTACAAAAAGAGAGAAAGAAATTTTAGAAATGAAAAATGCAACTGAAACTAAATTCTCTGGATTGGCTCAGGAGCAGAATGGTGCTAACACGGGAAACCATCAGTGACCCAGAAGACAGATCAGTGTCGATCTCCTCTGAAGACCAGGGTGGATGCACACAGCCCGGGGTTGAACAGTCTCAGAAACCTGTGGGACTGCATCAGAACACCTAACATACATGGTACATGGCACTGGGATCCCATAAAGGAGAGGATTCCAGGCAGTAAAAATCTGAAGACATAATGGCCAAAAAAGAAAAAAAAAACTTCCAGATTTGGTAAAAGACATAAATATTAAAGCTTAGTTAACCCCAAACAGGATGGTGCAACTGGAACTCATACAACACTGAGGGAAATTTCAAAATGGTTGGACCACTTTGGAAAGCAACTGGGCAATTTCTTAGGAAGTGAGGCTTATATACCAAGTAATCTAGGCATTACATTCCTAGTTATTTACCTAAGAGGAACAAAGAGATATGTCGGCACAGAGATTTGTACAAGAATGTCCATTAGTTGTAATTAATTTGGGATATATCCACTTGGGAGCTATTATAAATAGGCAGATATCTAGGCATGAAGGGGCTGGATATTGGAAAAAGCCCACAGGTACATCAAACAGTGAACGGATACACTATGGAACAGCCAAACACAGGCATGCTACTCAGCAATGAAAATGAACAAACTAATGATATTCAATAACATGGAAGAAACCTCAAAATTACTATCGTTCAATGAAAAACATTACACAAGCCAGTCATGAAAGGCCATATATTATATGACTCCATTTATATGAAATTCCAAAATAAAGAAATCTAGACAGAAAGACCAGTGCCTAGCACTGAGGAGTTTGGTAGTTACACAACTCTGTGATTATAATAAAAATCATTAAGCTAGCCCTAGCTGGCACAGCTCAGTGGATTGAGCGCGGGCTGCTAACCAAAGTGTCGCAGGTTCGATTCCCACTCAGGGTACATGCCTGGGTTGCAGGCCATGACCCCCAGCAACCGCACATTGATGTTTCTCTCTCTCCCTTTCCTCTCTAAAAATAAATAAATAAAATCTTAAAAAATATTTTAAAAAATCATTAAGCTGTATGAGATATGAATTATCTCAATAAAGCTGTCATATTTTAAAAAAAGAAACTATATGGAAAAAGTATTTTTAAAAAGTATGTACGTGATTCCTGATACAAAATTATAGAAAATACAAAAGTAATCAATAATAACAGAAAGCAGAGAAATGCTTAGGGATGGGAAAAGAGGGAGGGATGGACTACAAAAGGGACACAAGAGAACTTTTGGGGATACTGGCAATATTTATCCTGGCTGTGGCAATAAACTTTAAGTATGTTCAGCTTATTTTACTTCAACTATACCTCAGTAACACAAGTAAAAATAAATATGTACACATGTAATATACTACTAAACCCAAATCTTTTGAGGAAACAGACTGGATACCTTTTTTGTTCCTTCATGAAATCTAGCCAAAAACTAGTTTCCTGATCCTAGAAAATACAAATTGCTCTAAGTCTGACTTCTGTCTGCACTTAATTCTAAAAGTAGGGGCAATGGGGGAAGCAAATATCAGAGATTTTCATCCAAACAGTCAATGCAGAATTCCCTAGAAGAGTTTCCATTAGAACCATCCTGAGACACTTACGCCATCCTGTTACATGTTTCCCTATGTTTCCTGGGGAAGAAAACTAAGTCTAAATTTTTATAGTATGTCTGATCCATATTAACAGCGGTAACTACTTTAACATGCTATTCTAACTCATGCTGTCTGTGTAACTTTTAATGTATCAAAAAAATAAGACTGATGGGGAGATGCATTTAGGGATGGATAAAGATAAATGACCAAGTAAATACAATACAATATTAACTGCAGAATCTAGGTGGTCAATACATGGTATTCACTGTTCTAGAAACATTCTTTCACTATTTCTGTAAGTTTCAATTTCTTTGTAATAAAATACTGGAGTAAAAACCTACAAAAACAAAAATAACTAGAGAAACTTACATAGAAGAAAAATAAAGAGCCCGTGCCACTCCTTATAAATACAAAAGTGACTAGAAGTTCAAAGATAAATTTTTCGTAAGTTAAAACCCAACACAGACTACAGACAAACATGGCCAATACAGGCAGGCCACACTTTGTATGAAAATATAAAAATAAATGCAGGTTAAATCTGTATGATGTAATCTTAGTAAGCAATGAGAAAAAATTACAATTGGTTTGTGACCCTTTAAAAAAGGTAAAAAGCAATGCTGTGTGATGCCAAAACAATACCAGTATAGGTAAGAGAAATACGAAACTTCACACTTTACATTTAGCTTATCTCTAAAGAAAGTCATTTGAAGATAGCAAGAGATATACTAATAAAAATTATACTCTCCAAATAAAGTGGTATACCCTGCCTTCACTGAACAATCTTTTTCACTTAAAGTTAGCACTTACCCATTTTGTAAGAAACAGAAAATAGTAAATTCAGAATTAAAGTTACAATGATAACACATTTCTTCACTGACAGAATTTGGAAAATAACTTGAACAAGTGGTTATCTTTCATATAGAAGTTTCCTCTGCTATTTGAAAGTAGAACACTCCTAGGAAAGCTTCCTAAGCTGAAATTGTGTAAAGCAAAGAAGCAAATACCATTCATATTTATGGAAAAATTTGAGCGTTCCCAGACCGAAAATTCAAGGTATGCGCAATGTCTTTATTTTGTTTACCACGAGTGAAATAATTACATCCAGCTTTATGCTGTCACACCCTGATGAACTCTCCTAGGCTTTTCTGATACCTGAGGACATGTCTTGCCACATGCACAAAACAAACCGAGAGAAAGTACAGGCGTTCACAAACACAGTTCGAAGCCATAGAAGCTTGATGCTGACTGTATTTCCAGGGAAAGAGCACAGCAGGGCCATTCTACCTGCCTCCATAAGAACTGCAAAACAATTACTGAACGCTATTTGCTTTTCACCTTTTTTCTTAAAAAAGGAAAATCCTCTTTGGGTGTTTTTTAAGTTAGAGCAAACAGGCACTAAAAGCAAAGTGGCATAAGATGAACTGTATTCAGATGAACTGTAGAAGCGCTAAAAACATATAGTTGCTTTTCAGAGGATGGGAGAGGGAATGTGAATGCTTCCTAAAAAAGACACAGAACCTAGAACCTATAAATAAAAGATCAATAAATGTGACCTCATCAAAATATAAAATTTATGTATGATGTCAAAAAAATCAAGGAGAAATTGTAATACTTGTAAAAGTCTCCCATATATCACCCTTACTGCTGTGGCTCAGTTGGCTGGGCATCATTCCACAAAGCCAATGGCTGCTGGTCTGGTGCCCAGTCAGGGCACAGGCCTGGGGAGCAGGTTTAGTCCCTGGTCAGGGCGCATTCAAGAGGAAACCAATCGATGTTTCTTTCTCACATTAATGTTTCTCTCCCTCCCTTTTCCTCTAAAAATAAAATCTTGAAAAAAAAAGTCTCCCATGTATCATTAAGAAACTTAGGGATATATTCTTTGAATACAGACTTTTCATCACTTTGATTTTGGATTCAAGTAACTATTCTGCATAGTTATTTTTTAAATGAGCCTGTGGATCAAGTTGGCGAAATAACTACATGGAAAACAACTCTTCCCAATGCCTTTAAAACACAACGTTATCATGCAACCCTAGAGTAATATGCCCTAAACACAAAAATAACTGGGGAAAAGAGCAAAAACTGTCTTTACTGATGACACTGTTAGTGAACTGTTGGCACTGTTATTCTGTGACTTGTGTGTGTGAAAAGCAAGTAAGTAAATAGAACGAAAATAGATGTTAAGTTTCATAAGAATCTTATAGTAGACCTGAGTGAAAGCAACGACAGGAACTCATGATGTATCTCTCAATGCAGTATGTGTCTTCCATCTTTGTCTACCAAAGAGGTCAAAAATAACGACTAATTCAGTAGTAACAACTCCCTTTAGATCCCACACTGAGGACTGTAAGTGCCACTTCCCGCAAAAAGAAACCAGGGCTCCGTGGAGAAATGGCTGAATCTAAGTCCAAGACGGGAAATTCATGAGATAACCCAGGAGCTTCTTGTAAGAGCAGGAAGCAAGGAAGGTATCAAACATAGGGTTATAACAAAACAAAACAAAACCCTCAGGAGTCAACCTTAACAGGCTTCATACCTGGCCAAAGATGAACAAGTAAACACCAATAAGGATAATAACTGCAATGGGTGGAAACACGTATTTAAATCTATGATTTTGTACAGTCAAATCAACTCATTATTCTGAAAACTGGTGTATCTATTCTTTCCTATGCAATTTGTACCTGTAAGTAACCAATGTTAGTATGGAGAAGCATCTCTAAGCATTCTAGTTAATAAATGGAAAAGGAATGTTAGGAATACATTACTATCACTTTCAACCCTTAATGATTTAATGGATCTAGGCCAGGTTTTTCGAGTTCAGCACCACTGACATTTTGGGCCAAGTAATTAATTCTTGTAGGGAGCGGTCCTGTGCATGGTAGATGTTTAGAAGTATCTCTGGCCTCTCTACCCACTCGATATTAGATGCTATTAACACCTTCCAAGTTATGACAAGCAAAAATGTCTCTAGACATTACTAAACAGCCATTGATGGAGGTGCTGAGAAGGGAGTGAGGGGGAGCTGCAAACTTACTACTCCTCATTGAAAACCACACTGATCTAAGCCACAAAAAGAAGCAATGGCTGCTGACATCACACAAAGAAACACCTAGATGCACCCTGAGGGAAAGGCACATCATCACTTATGAACTAGTCTTGCCAAAAGGATCACACCTGAATCTGATCACATCTCTGTATCTGCTTGCTAGTTTAGAGGAAATTCAGAAATGCAGGACTCTACCAAACAATACCATAGGGATGCAAATATAAAATCCACACTGCGGGACTCTATAGAACAAACATGCTTCCTTTTTCTATAACAAAAATAAGGAGGAAAAGACAAGAAAAACATGTTGGAGGGGAAGCTGTAGATCAGCGATTTTCAACTGTTGTGCTGCAAGATTTTTAAAAACATGTAATACCCGACAAGTCAGGGGTACGGACCTCTTTTCACTTGATCGTCACACAGAGAAAAGGACAAGAGACAACACAATAGCCATCTAGTGTGAATGAATCAAAATCACACCTGTCAATCTGACAAAAAAAATTTTTTGTCAGATCGGCAGAAAATCTGTATTTTTTAGTGTGCTGCAGAATTTCAGTAATTAGTAATTAGGGTATGTGTGCCACGAGATGAAAAAGTTGACAATCACTGCTACAGATTATAAATCAATTTATTGCAATGTGTGGACTACAGATGGATTAAATGAGTTACAGCAGGAACAGAAGAGAAAGCACTGATGTGGGAAGAAAAAAAAAGAACCAAGCTAAAGAAGAAAAAGTAGATTATTAGATAAAACAATTAGATAAAAAGACACAATTTTACACAGTTCTAGAAACAAATTCACATGTGGTTATATACACAAAAGCAAACTTTAAAAATGTTACACAATAAACGGTGGATTCAGAATCTCACTGTGATTCAAGTCCACAGTTATGAACAAGAAACATTAACAGAGAGCACCATGAAGGAAGACACTACAGCAACTGAATTTTAGATCTGAACACCCAAAATACAACAAACAAAAACCAACATATTCAGTAGATAAAAATATTTATCTGACATATACCTTTTAAAAGTACTTTTTATAGGATAAACCGTGTAACAAAACAGTATGGTAAACAAACAAACAAACAAACACACACACATTCCCTAATCAAGCTAAGTACATACATACCATGGCGTGCCAGGAATAGGGGTAGTAGCTACTGGTTTGGCCTTCTGCGCGGCCTTTTCTTCTTCAGTCATCTCCTCTTCTTTGGGCTCCTATGAGAAATATCACTCCCATTTAATTAGTATCTGAGCAGTATACCAGGACATCCCATCAATACAAGTATCACTGCAAATACCTCAAAGTGCAACCAACATCAAGTCTTTTGCTAGCACGGGAAGGGGAGACTCTGAGTAGGAATTTCTAATAAAATTCTAAATCCTTGTGCTTTAGACAAAGGCAAATGCCACAACAGCAGATCCTGGCAACAGCAGATGGTCCTCTCTTCCAGATTCAGTAACCATTTGTTTAGAAACAGAAATGGGAAATACAGTATACAAAATCAAAGAAGACCTCTCCATTAAAGGTCATTTGTTTTTTTGTTAACTTCCTTACTAATAAAACATGACTACCACTGTTCCCTCAATGAAAGAAGGAAGCTTACAAAAATCAGAGCTCTTTTAGTGCTGTATGGAGATCATTCATTCCATGCCAGGACAGACAAAATTCCCCAAATATGAATTTGTACTTATAATTTTAACATGTACCAGTCCGTAAATCAGGAGGTTGAAAAGCATGTCCAAGCTCTGTCTAAGACCCTTTCTAAGGCCCTTGATTTACTGTAAGAAGTAATTTCATGAAATTTACAAAAGAAAAACTCAATTACAAACTTCAAAGAACCCTAAAATTTCATCTAAAACAATGTCAGCTGGATCCTCAGTTGCAAGTACTGTGTACACATCAATCAAAGTTGGCTCCCACGTGTCCCTTTACCTCCTTGATCTCCTTCATTGGCTCTTCTTTAGGATCCTCCTCCTCTGTCTCCATTGGCAAAGGTTCTTCAGAAGGTTCTTTCATTGGCTCTTTAATCTTCTCTTCTAATTTTTCTATTTAAAAAGTTAAGATAATGTCACTCCATATTTTTTATGTAATTTACCAAAAGCTTTCAGAAACTAAGCAGTTAAGATACTCTGTAACAAGAAGTTACTAACCACAAAAATAAAATGTTCACCCTTGTAATATCATTAACTTGAATATAATGTAAGGCTCAACTTCAAATACCTTGCTCTACCAATCAGTAAACTGCCACTAAAAAGAACTGCTGATTTCAGAGGGACATAAAGTCTTTCAGCTAATGCATGTATCATTTGTACATAGCAATCATTCATTTTGCTAAAAGGGATAATATATTAAGATATTTAGGAACAAAAACGGAGACTTTGTGGCACAGAAAATTACAAGTCTTCATCCGAGACACTAAGGGCCTAAATTTATTTCAGAATATATGTAATACACACATTCCTTTCTGATCAGTACTATCAAATCTTAATAAGGATACCAATAATTATACAACAGGGAATTATACAATTCCTCACAACAATAATTTGTATGTGTGTATAATTTAATTTCTCCAGATGGAAAAATGATGGGACAAACATGTAAGTATATGAACTGGCTTTCTAAGTAAATACATATTTATTAATACATAGGAATAAACAATCCAATTATGTAATTAGAAAAATCCCTCAACTATGTTAACAAGAAATTAACTCAGAATTTCAAAAAGCCTTCTATTTAAACATCATTGTTTATACTATGTCCCAACAAGTCAATAAACTATACCTTTTTCCTTTAGTTCTTGGGGTTTTTCCCAGGTTGATTCTAATGTTCTATTATTATAATAATATGTCTTCCCATCTGCGGTTTTATATTCAGTCCACTCAGATACTGCTGTTGCTCCAGCTAAGGTAGCAGGTGAAGCTGCAATAGCAACCTGGGGATGTATCATGGGTACAATAGGAGGGGCCATTCCTGGCAATACACCTAAAAAAGAATAATAAAAAGTTAGAACCAAGTACCAAATTGCAATTCAAAATAAAGCTTTAAAGTATAAGCTAAATTTTTCCATTAAATAGTAATGAATGAACCAGTTGGGACAAAAAAAAGTCATGTAAAATGTGATTTATTTACTCAAATCTACTTCCCTGGTTAAGTTCTAATGCCTAAATTCAATTAGATTCATACATTCAACCCAAGAAGTACCTTAAGAACAGTCAGAAATTTGGGTCACACCTATGAACTCTTAACATAATAAATTACAAAAAGCAGAGTGCATTCTCTACTTATTCACAGAAATATATTTTATAAGGATTTCTCAAATTGTAATGAAATCAAGGCAATGAGCATATTTATTTACTGAGTGTATTTCCTGAGGCAAAATTATTTTCTAGTTCTAAGGTACCTAAAAGGGTATGAATAAAATTATCAGTTTTCAAGTAAATGACTGAGTTTATTATTAAATCTACTTTTAATAGTGATTAAGTCAGACATCCGTGTAAACTCTGTAAATCAGTTTAGTCCTTCCCTAAAAGAAAAAAGTTCCTTCTATTTTTCAAAAGGTAAGCCAGGATTTACATTTTTTTTTACAAGATAGCTAAAAAAGCCAATTATTACATAAATAAAATAAGAATATGTCAATTAAAAAAAAACAAAAACCTCAAATCCCCTACGAGATTTAAGTTTTAGGTCGTTATCATCAGCAACTTTAAAATATAAGTTTATACTATACACACAAATACTCACACACATATACTCACTAGCATGCAAGAATAATCACAGCACTTTACACATGGAAATGATTTTTTATATTTAACTTAAAAACACACATCAAAAAATAAAATTAAATGTTATGAATATGAGAATGAAGTTGTTTACACTTATTATAAAAATTAAGATATAAAGAGATCTGACCTTATTTGCTTTTGTGAACCAAAGAAGCTAATACTACAGGCAATTGGGAAAATTAAGTGTTGGCCAAATATTGAACAACTGCATTTATAGTGCCCATTAAAAAGAAAAATATTTAAAAACCCACTCACTTGGGCAAAAATAAATAAATAAAAGGATAAACAACAACATTCACTACCATGCCAACTTACAGACAAAACAAACTAAGATGGTTTTAAAAATTACCGGTCTTGGTGGTAGCGACTGTCTTTACATACGGGCAGCTGACTATTTGCATCATTGCTACACCTGTAAAATGGATAAGCAAGCATACGTTGGAAAGCTGCCATTGTATGTCGGCTACCACTGGGATTCAGGAAAATAATTTACCACTACAATTTAGAATGCTATTTCCAATGAAAAAGACCAAGAATGAAATAAAATTTCTTTTTGTTTGACATTTTGTGGGAAGTGGCACCAAATCCAATGTTAACTAATTCTAAATGATAGCATCAATTACCTTTTCATCAAACCAACTCTGGTAATATTGAAGGAGTCTCAAGATTTCAAATTCAACAAAGGAAAGCCCCTTCATTACATACACATAACAAGTTCTCACTGGGACCTTTTCTCACAGGACATCAAACCCATGCTGCTGTTGCTTAGACACCAGTGAAAGGCAGATGCAGCATGACACTGGGACACTTTCTCTGTGCTTCTTCTATGTAGGAACTACATGCAGAAGCTGAAGCCTGGAGCACAATCATTCAGAAATAGAAAAAGATAAGATAGGACCAAAAAGGTGGGAGGAAAAGGAGAAAAAAAGGTTTGAGATGGATCCAAATATTCCACTGTAGATAAAAGAAGGGCAAAGATGAAGAGGAGGGTAGCATTCAACTAATGACAAAATATTCATGTTCGATGTCTGCCCTATTTCAATGCCATGGGCTTGGAACGGTGAAAGCAGACTAACACTTTTAAGAAAAACATGGCCCTTTAATCTCATTAATGACTACACGGGCTGATTTGCTTCAGAAATCTCCATCATTTAAGCCAGCTTAAAAGGTAGCACTTGTATTAAAGAATGGAGCCCTGGCCAATGGCTCAGATAGTTGGAGCATCATCCCATATACCAAAAAGGTTGCAGGTTTGATTCCTAGTCAGGGCACACCTAGGTTGGGGGTTCAGTCCCTGGTCAGTGCACATAAGGGAAGCAACAGATAGATGTTTCCTTCTCTCTACCCCCCCTCTCTCCCCCCCACCCCCTCTCTCTCTCTCCTTTGTCTCCCTCCCCCCTTCCTCCTCCTCCTCTCTCAATAAACATATCCTCAGGTAAGGATTATAAAGAAAAAAAGAATGGAAATGATGTACAGTTCTTAGAATGAGGAATCATTATGATGTATAGCAATGGTGATATAAAAAGTGAATGAAAGGAAAAGCTGGAAACTAAGACTGATTGAGGAAATTAAAGAGTGAATTTAAGAAAAAATTTAAAGTTTTTGCTGAAGGATGAAGGAAAAGGGTGGGGAATTAAATTTCATTTTCTATTTGTTTCAGCTAAAAATACTAAACCTAAACTAAACTGGTACTAATAAAATTAAAAATTATAAACTCTTTTCCTCACTAATGTATAAGAAATGTCTCCTAATTCAGGGACAAAAATTAAAATTAAACCCTGGGGTTTGTATACAATGTACCTATTTCTCACACACACACACAAAAATACTGCCAATTTTTTAAAAGTGGCCTTTTTCTTTATTACCATTTTAAATAAAGAACATTAAAGTGAACTTTCTATTAACTTTGAGAATAAAACAAAAGGACTGGATCATAAACATATGCTAAGTAAAGTTTTATGTATAGTTCTATTTTTCATAATGTTTAAAGAAAGCAATGGAAAATTCATTTACTTAAGGAAGTTACAGCATATATTAAGTTTAAATTAGTATAAATGCTGCCATCTGCAGGACCACTAAACCTATTAAGTCAGCACTAGAAATTCAATGCCTAGAATAGGGTAGGGCAAAAGTAGGTTCGCAGTTGTAATACCAGTAAGTAATACAATAACTAATGAATACAAAAATAAACTCTGTTTCATGTACTCACAACTGTAAACCTACTTTTGCCATACCCTGTATTGAGTTGGCCAAAAAGTTCATTTGGTTCTTTCTGTACAATGGCTCCAGTAGTAGTGCTTACTTATCTTTAATTTCATTTGAAATAATTTTTTAGACTGTATTGTGACAGCTGTCATATCAGCATTCATTTAAAAAAACATCAAAATTGGTGAATTTTTGTGTAGCCATTTTAATACTGAAGATGGGAGAAAAGCAACATTTTCAGCATATTATGCTTTATTTCAAACAAGGTAAAAATGCAACAGAAACACAAAAAAGATTTGTGCAGTGTATGGAGAAGGTGCTGTGACTTATTGAATGTGTCAAAAGTGGTTCGCGAAGTTCCACGCTGGAGATTTAGCAGTGGATGATGCTCCATGGTCAGATAGGCCAGTTGAAGTTGATAACGATCAAATCAAGACATTGATGAAAAACAATCGACATTATACCACGCAAGAGATAGGTGACATACTCAAAATATCAAAATCAAAAAGGTTATTGGTGAAAATGAAAAATGTGTCTTTTATTTTATGGGAAAAAACCAGATGGACATTTTGGCCAACCCAATACATAAACTTTATCCTCAAAGACTGTTCTCCAAATTAAACCCCCCCAAAAGAAATTTTAACTATATGACTTCAGCAGACGAAAATCAAATCTCTTTGTATGTAGGCATAACTGTCACTGTTTATCAACTGGGGCAACACAGAGCTCTTGTATCAAATACACACCACACTGAAAGGGTCATGTGTGTTTCTTCTTATGCTAAAAAATAAACTTCAGGTTTTCTCTTTGGGGGATTATTACATGCATATCATGAAGACTCACAAAATAACCACATATTTAAGTTTTTAATCTTTTTAAAGGGAGCATTTGTTCAATTTAGCTACAACTCTATTCTCAGATTATAGTCTATTTATAGACTCTAAAATTATAGACGATAAGTAGACTATAAAATCTATAGTCTACTCATAGAGGTAGAAATCCTATAATCCTAATCCAATTTACTAGGCCCATTTCCACCTCTTATGCCAATATTTACCTAATTTTTTCACACCTTTTCTTCAGTTTTTGACTATCCTTTCCTTAATCATACCCATTAGAACCACACACATCGCTATTTCAAAAAGAATTTAAGGCTCCAAGATAAACTGCATCCAAATCCCTCCTGTTCACCTTAGTGCCAAATTAATATAATTAATATTACATACGAGAGACAGATCTCAGTGTATATAAAACCAAAGATTTGAAAAAGAGAGAAGCAAGTCTTTTTCACTAAAGCACGTTGGAGGACTAAATTAAAGGGAAAATGAGAAAAAAATGAACATTAATATAAAAGATGGCTTACTATATATACAAATATTAATATTTCTTTCTATAAAACACTACCTCCCTTTCCAAAGAATCTTGTTATCTTAGACAAAATTTTACAGCCCATCTAACTCAAGTTCTCTTCCAACTGATCTACAAAATGTCATTAGTGCCTGCCATTTATTAAATGTCTTTTGTTTCCAAACCTCCTATGTAACACCCCATCCAGTCCAATGCTCACCACCACCTGTTCTAACGTTTGATAGGTAGGGTCACAGAACAAAGACCACAACATCAAAATGGAGCTGTAGTTGAATGAATTTTATTGTGACAAAACTGCATTTTCTACAGAAATGAATTTTGCTATTCTGTACCTTTCACTCACTGCTCCTATTAAAAACCTCTAAAGCAAAATAAAAGTCCTTTCATAGACAGCCTTCCAAATACTTCAAGAACACTATGCTAACTCTCAATCTTCTCTCTACAGAATTAACAACCCCAGCTCCTTCACATCACTCAGAATCTAGAATCTGGTCTTAATACTGTCCCTGACCCTAAAGCAGACCATGATGGCAGGATGTTTTCAAGAATGTCAAGCTATTCTGTATCACTTAGTTTTCTACAAAAAGTATGTCCAAAGAGGGAAGTATCCAAGTACATGTCTTACGTTTAATTTAGAAAAAGGGCAATCCCTATTATCAGAGAAAACACTTTTGGTTTTCTAAACTTTTTATTGGGTATTTAATACCTAACACTATGTCAGCAACATGTAAAAGGTTTTTCTACAAAAAAATTCCACTAATTCTTGAAAATTTTTGGTTTCTTTCCTGCAAGGTACAGCATCTAAAAGCATTCTCTTCAAAGCGATCACAGGAAAAAGACAATTAGAGCAATAGTGATAATTAAAATGTGTCTAAGTCTAAAAAGCAGCAGTATCACAATCCTATTCTTACACAGAAACTAGTACAAAAGTGGCAATACCAGACAGTGAGAGGAATGTAAAATTGGAAGACAAGAGGCCTAGGTTCTGTTCATCTTTGCTACAAACTAGCCCTGTGTACTTGACCTAAGGTATCAATATTTTCAACTAGAATACTAGGGGAATAGACCATGGATTAAGGATTAAATGTGTGACAACAGCAAATGCAGTCCAATTAGGATTGCTCAATATCATCACTGCTTAATCCCTACTTATATTCCACAATCTTTTAATTCCTTCCCTAGATGTAAGGATTTCCCCTAAGACAAAAAATAAATTAAAAAAGAGTAATTCACCATAATTATCTAAATGTTTAAATGGTGCACGTTATACTTTACTTCACAACTGTTACAAGGGAAACTTGCAATTTCTATTTCAGATAAATTTTTTTGCAATTAATAGCTCACACTTTCATTCCAGTATAATTTAGTTATTAACAGCATGGTATTTGGATCTGAAGTGCTCAGGCTCAAATCCCGGCACCATCACTTATGAGCTGTGTGACCATGGACAAGTAATTTAGCCTGATTCCGTACCTACCTCATAAGACATTTGTGAAAATTAAATGACTTACATGTAAAGTAATTAGAACCATGCACAGTATGTAATAAACCACTCAGCTTGTGTTAGCTACCAATGACTTGTGATCTCAACTTCATAGACTCAATCCCTTTAAAATATTGCATTTAGAACATATTTACACAATATAATCACTTTTAATTCTTTGAGGCCACTATTCAAAATGAGTGTAACTTTAAATGTGGCTCTAATTTTAAGACATGTAAACAACAACAAAAAGGACATTTACCAAAACTGAAGAGAAAATACTGCAGTTAGCCATGAATCGTTCAAAAAAAACGTTTCAAACAGGTGAGATTCAAGGCAAATTTCAAATGCAACAGACACATGAGAACAAACTGACAGTATGAAAACATAGCTGGAAAGACTATTATAATCTATTGGTTTACCTGGAAGTGGAATTGGCATGCCAGGAAGAGGAACACGAAACGGAGGTACCATTACTGGTGGAAACGCAGGTATTGCCGCCGCTGGCTGAGGTACCGAATGAGGGACAGCCGGAGGTAACGTCTGGGGGTGCGGCTGGGGAACGGTTTGCACAGGTGTGGCTGTAGGAGCAGGAGTTGAAACACTAACTGTAGGCGTGGCAACTGAAACAGCAGAACTTGGAGTCTGATCTTGTGTTGTGGGTGCTGATAAAAGATAGAACAAAAATATGTATCATTCCTTCATAAACCATTTTACTAGAGTCAATCATCATTCACTCATTCAGTAAGTATTTTAAGGGCCCATCCATGCACTGCAAGAAATTTGTAACAAGGTCTCTCTGTCTTCAAGAAGCTTGAACATAGTTAAATGAAATATAAAAAACAACTAAAATACAAAGTGAAATGGGATAAATGTACAGGAATGTAAATGAAGACCCAAAGACCATTTCTAACTATGACAGGGTACAGAAAATTTTATGCAGTGATGGTAGGCTTTGAAAGATTAAGATTTCAATAAGAAAAATGACAAAGTGAAAGGAGAATATAAGCACATAGTGGGAAAAGTAAGTAAAAGCAAAGAGCAGGAACAAGAACTGTTCAGAAAACACTAGGCACAGAACCAGTGAGTTATGGCGGGAAAGGTAGGCCAGAGGCACCAAGGAGAAGGCCTTGAACAGAAGACTAAGGAGTGTGCATTTTACTGGGTAGGGAAAGGAAAGAACTCATGTAAATGTAGAAAAATGGTCAAGAAGAATACACACGAAAATATATTAACTCATGACATCTGTGTATGCCTTTTACTTTTTTCACTATACATGCTTCATTAGTTTGAATTTTTAGTAAGAATGCATTCACATGTTATTTGTATGATTTCATTAATGTAAAAGGAGTGTGAGGGAGGCTGACTGAAGGTTTCTGTATTGAAGACTAATAATCAGTGTTCATTTGTTGAATTAACTTGGCAGATGCATAGGAAGAAGAGGAGGAAGAACAGAGGTGGGAAAATCAATTTCAATATATCTGGAATTGTCCAAGCAAAAGAGAACAGAGAGAAAAAGATATGCAGTAACTAATGACTGACTGGATAGGAACAAATGGAATCAAAACAACTTGGTTTTCTCTAAAATTACTTAAAAAAAGAAAAAAAAGGAAAAAAAAAAAAAAGAAATGCCCAGGTTGCCAGTATAAGAGACAAGAGAATGAGGAATTCAGGATAATTTGGTTCTGCTAACACATTATTTTTAAATATTGAAAATAAAACATTCCAGCCCTAGTCTAGTAATCACATTTAAAATCAAATTGTAACCTAAAAATAAAATTTGTATTTCAATTTTTTAAAGTTTCAGTACTCAAATATTAGAAAGCATTTTTTATTTATTCATAACCCATATAATTCCAAAACAAAATTCATTTTGATGTATCATTGGTAAGAAATACATCATCTTTTCCTTGTTGTAAACAAAAATGTCAAACTCTACCTATATTGAACTAAGAATGAATTTACCAAATAAAACAAAACAGTGCTTTCCCAATGTTTGTGCCAACTATATTCTAAGGGAAAACACACTGTTTAATACAAACCACCCGGTATTCCAACTGACAAAATTTGTCAGTATCTTTTTTCAGTGCCTGATAATGAAAAAAACTCACTTAGGCTGGGAGATGTGAGCAATTTCATACTTGTTAATAAGGGACTCACCTTGGCTAAATAGACAGCAGGGCCAACAAGTATCTTCAGGGGCCCAGGAATGAATTGTTGGTCTAGCATAGACCTAGCCTTAGGGTACAGTATCATATTAATATAATTTTATAACAATGTGAAAAATACAAAGTACATGCAACATTTGCCCAGTCCCATACATATACCATTTAGCATTTGTAATCTACAGTAATGGCTGAGAAATATCTAGTTATTCTTCCCAACTTCCCTGAGAAGTAGGATTTATCAGCATTTTTCACAAACTTGCACAGGATTAAATGAGTTTATGCTCATCTGGAGTTAAAAATATAAATACCTCAATTTTTAGCCCCATCTACCCAGGTCTACACTGCAGTTCACAGAATTACATTTTTTTAAGATATTATGGCAATAGTATTTAGATGGAATTAGCAAAATTTGATAAAGTACTGTGGTCAGGAAAACAAAACGAGTCATAGAGGCATCAAATTTCAAGTAGAAAGGAACACCCAATGGGGATGGCAAAAAGTATTCACGCAACCCATTTCTCTTGCTGGCACAGGGTTTTCTGATTTGATAAGTAGAAATAAGTCAGGAGAGGAAAAGGATAAAGGCAATAAAAGAATTAAATGGAAACTGGGAAAACGGCAGCTAGGACTTTATAGTGGGTAAATTCCTACTCATTCCATTTGCTAAAATAACTAATGAAACACCAGGCCTCAAAATACATTACGAACCCAGCCTCAGATTTCAACTAAAAAAGTGACTATAACAGATGGAGAAATATTAAGACTGTAGCAGGACAATACTTCATGACACTGAATCAAGTGAAATAAAAACAGACATCAGGAACACTCAGAAAGACATCAAAATTGATGTTTAAAGGCAATGAAAAGAACGTAATTTTGCTATTCTGTTCTTAGAATAAAGGCCTCCCAATCACTGAAGGGCAGAGCAAAAATGACAAATGGGAGTTCTGAATAGAATAGCTGACAATCCCAAGATAGTGATGGGCCCAAAGACCACCCTGATATAGAAATGAAATACACACTAGCCCTGGCCGGGTAGCTCAGTTGGTTCGCACGTCATCCTGATATGCCAAGGTTGTGGGCTTGATCCCCAGTCAGAGCACATACAAGAATCAACCAATGAATGTATAAATAAGTGGAACAACAAATCAATGTTTATCTCTCCCTTCCTCTTTCTCTCTAAAATCAACAAAAAAATTAAAAAAATGGAATACACATAGGATAAAGTGTTTGGCTACCCACCTTCCTCAATACAAGGTATTTCTCCTTCCTGAGAAGGCAGGGAACAAAACGTAACACAGAGCCTCCGCGTAGAACCACATTGCTGTTGTTAATCTCCCCTCTCCCATTACCACCACAGGTACCCCATAAACCATGAGTTTCCGGCCTTGTCACGCAGGTTTTAGAAGCACTGACCTATAAAACGGCAAAGACCCTCAACCAGCTAGCTGCTGACTTCCATATCAGAATTCACTGTTACATTTCCATATCAGAGTTTACCTCAGCTACAAAAGAAAACAGACTTGTAAAGCATTTATATCTTCCCTAATAAGTACATTTTTGTCTAAAAATTATCAAGTAGGGCCTTTAAAAAACTGTCTCCATAGTACATGTACCTTATTTCTTAGGTTACTTCTTGTATCAACAAAGTCAAATTTGAATCTACTATGATTAAATTTCTCATATAACACATTCCTTACAATGTAATTTACACTAATAAATCCAAGGTCTCTGGGGAAAGGGGCACTTTTCATTCTTATTCCCATCTCTATTATCCATGCAGCAAAATAATCCAAATTATAATCACCCCATTGGGATATGTATGTATTTATGTAATAGTATCATAAACCACCAAATTAATAAAATCATTATTTAGCCCTTGTTGGGTGGCTCAGTTGGTTTGAGCATCGTCCTGTGCACCAAAAGGTTGTAGGTTCGATTCCTGGTCAGGGCACATAACTAGGTTGCAGGCAGGGGTGCATACAAGAAACAACTGATTGAATGTTTCTCACTCACATAAATGATTCTCTCCCCCTACCTCCACCTCCACCTGCCTTTCCTCTCACTCTAAAATCAATAATGAAGCCCTGGCTGGTATGGCTCAGTGGACTGAGAGCCAGCCTGAGAACCAAAGTGTTGCTGGTTCAGTTCCCTGTCAGGGCACATGCCTGGGTTGCAGGCCAAGTCCCCAGTAGGGGGCACGTGAGAGGCAACCACACATTGATGCTTTTCTCCCTCCCTTTCAAATGAAATCTTAAAAAAAAAAAAAAAATAAAATCAATAATAAAAAATATCCTTGGGTGAGAATTAAAAAAAATTCTTTTAAATCATTATTTAGCCCTGCCTGGCTGGTGTGGCTCAGTGGATTAAGTGCCAGCCAGGAAACCCAAAGGTCACGGGTTTGGTTCCCAGTCAGGGTGCATGCCTGGGTTGCAGATCAATGTTTCTCTCCCTCTTTCTCCCTCTCTTCCCCTCTCTCTAAAAATAAGTAATTTTAAAACATCATTATTTAAGCCCCAGCTGGCATAGCTCAGTGGATTGAGCGCGGACTGGGAACCAAAGTGTCCCAGGTTTGATTCCCAGCTAGGGTACATTCCTGGGTTACAGGCCATAACCCCCAGCAACCGCACACTGATGTCTCTCTGTCTCTCTCTGTCTCTCTCTCTCTCCCCCCCCCTTCCCTCCCTAAAAATAAATAAATAACATCTAAAAAAAAATTTCATGCATAAAATTAAAAAAAAAAATCATTATTTAAATATTCTGGGGCTCAATTTCAACCTGTAGAGTAAGTAGCAACAAATAAAACGTAGCAGTGTAAATATTAATGACAATCTTTTAAGCAAACTAATAGATTCTTCTTTCTTCACCCCTGTATTCTATTTATCACCTCTCATCTTTTCAGATAAGATCTTTGAGCCTCTGTGACTTTATACCTGAAAATTCTCCTACCTTTCTCACTGCTTCTTTTTCAACTCATTTCAACTGCCTATATACCACTTTAGGACCTAACCACTACTACATAAGATTACTGAAAACTTCCTAGTCAGTTTCCAATTTCAACACTACCCAAAAGCTGAGCAGGAAAACATCTTCCAGAATACTGCATTTCGACAGCCTCCCTAGACCTGCCTGAGTCACCCATTTGCCTGGTTTTTAAAACACTTCATAACCTGATTTCACTCTTATTCAATTTATTGGCCAATGTATACGTTCCCACCTCAAAAGAGTCCCTTAACAATCCCACAAACTACATTTATCTTCATTTCCTGAACTTTGTTAATGCTGCTCCCCCTCAACTTGAAACATCTCTTTTTTGAACCTATTCAAATTCTACCACAAATCCTTCATGATCAACCTCAATACCCATGTAGTTTAACCCCTTGTCTCTCCATTTTCTTGAATTGTTACATCTTCTGTTTTAACTATATAATTTTGCGCACTACATTCTGTTTTACAGGCATTATGCTGGCCTCCTCAATTAGAAAAGCTGGAAGTTCTGGAAGATAAGAACCAAGACTTCCACTGACTTTGCCAAGCCCATAGCACCCAGCAATACTGTTAACCAAGTTGAATAGATTAACTCTGCACTTCCCCAGTTTTGCTTCATTAATTGCAACTGGGCAAATAATCCCTTCTACTAATGTAAATTTCTGTTTTTCTTTAACCCAAAAATCTTAGGTCAAAAATGTTTTTAAAATAACATCAAGGGTAATACATGAAACACTAGGATCAGTTTGCAATGCAGTCCCTACTTATCCATTTCCCTAGTCCCCAAAAAGGAAAACACATGCTGACTTGTACTCACTTGATACTGTCTGCGAAACCGAAGAGGCAGTTGTCGTGGTAGAAGTGGTAGAGGATGGGGTGGATGATGATGCTGAAGTGGATACTGCAGGTGCTGGGCTACTGGTCGTAGGGGTGGAAGCTCCTACTGCTTGTGCTTGCACCTGCACTTGCGCCTGGGCCTGCGCCTGCGCCTGGGCCTGGGCCTGGGCCTGGGCCTGGGCCTGAGCCTGAGCCTGGGCTTGGGCTTGGGCTTGGGCCTGGGCCTGGGCCTGAGCCTGAGCCTGGGCCTGGGCCTGGGCCTGAACCTGTGCCTGGGCTGCAAGCATAGGTGTCAGTTCTGACTGCTGAATAACCTTAACTCCATCTGGCTTGCTCCATGCAGATTCACGTGTCCGAGCATTATAATAATAAACCTGCAGAGGAAGCAAAATCACTGGTATCATAGAATCTGTCAACTATCATTAAAAAACAGTAAAGCAACTACATTTTGTCTTAAAAGTTATTGAAAAAGAAACTTAAGAGAAAACACATCAAAATTGGCTGTTCAGATATTGAGACAGTAGGTAACACACATAAAAAGGAAAACCAAGATTATTTTTGTGCAAAAAAGATACATAGCAGGTCTGACTGCAAACCTTAGAAAGCCCTGCTTGCAAAGTTGACTCTTGGCTGGCATCTGGAAACTTGGATTTTGGGAAGGTTACCACCATTCCCTAACTGGTTAAGAACAGCTCGCTGTGCCCAAACTGCTTACACGATAATGCAGTTTATGCTAAACATCTGCTTTCCCGTTGGGAATTTAGAATTTTGATTATGTGCTGGGCAGATGGCACCAGTCCCCAGTGACAACTCTTGACTCTCCAGCTGAGGCTAGCTTCTCTGGTAGACAGTCCTCCACGTATTTTGTCACAATTCCATGCTAGAGAAAATATACACACTCTACATGCTCCGGAGTGGATTCTTGGAAGCTTGTGCTTCATTTCCTCCAGGTTTCGCCCCATGCCCCTTTTCCTCTTGGCTGGCTTTGCTTTGTACCCTTTCACTGTAATCAGTCTTAGCTGTGGGTACAACGAACATGCTGAGTCCTGTGAGTCCTCCTAGTGAACACTAAACCTAAGAGTTGTTTGGGGACCCATGGCACATATTTAAAGCACAAGCTTCCAAACCACAGGTAAACATACGTAGGCACTCCATTCTGCGCAGACGTCCAATCCAGTGAGCCTTTCCTGAAGTCCTACCCCACGCCCTGCTCACCCCAGGCTCATTCTTATAATTGGCAGCAAGAATACCGTCAGTCATTAATCTCAATCTGCCAGAACTCTCTAAGTCTTACTCTTCTGTTGCCAAGAAGATAACAGCCTGAATACATTTTCTAATTTACCTTCCCATCTGGAGTTTTGTTTTCCACCCATATCTCTTCAGTCGGAGGCAGAGCTGGAGTACCAGGAGCAGTCACAGGAGGCATTCCCGGCGGAAACATCATGCCTGGAGGAGGAGGCATGGTTCCCATGGGTGGAGGCATGAAAGGTGGTCTCTGTTAATTCACAAGAACAGTCAAGGTCAACTTGCATTTATCTTTTCCCCTTCAAATTACTAAATTCAACCCAAAAGTAAAGCACTGTAAGAGAAACTGAACTAGCGTGCTAGTTCATTCAAATATATTCATCTATTGTGTGTAAGCGAAGTTTCTCTGTAAAAATGGTTACTAAACAGACTGGAAAGAAATACATCAGCATACAGTAGTTAGTTCTGGGTAATAGCATTACAGGTGAATTTTGCTTCATTCTTTATACTTCAAAGGGAATTTTCATATTCTAAGCACCAGATTACTTTCGAGAGAAATTGATTTTTGTATCTTTTGATACCAGGCACACCAATGCCTCCACACTTCACTTACAATAGGGACCAACCAAAGAAGAAACATAGTTTGACAAGCAACATAGAAAAAAAATCAGATATACCTAATCCTTCCTTTTCCTACAAGAAACAATATATTACATAGAAAAATATTCATAATTTTCTATTTTTCAAGTAATAATAATATATAGTTCAGCAATGACATAAGCACCACTTAAATTTAGAAGATACAGTAAAATAGTTATCCATTTTACTTTTAGTGGAATATAAGAATTTAAATGGTGTATATTACCTTAAAAATTTTTTTCCTGGTGTCATTACTAACTCAATCCTATCTCTGATAACTCTTCAGTCATTCTTTAATGACTGCTGACACAACCTAAGACCCTGAGCCACACAATCCAACTGTAACTGCTATACCTCACTTACTAAAGCAGACACGTGGTTTAACATTGTAACAACAGATTTTGAACAGGAATTAAAAGATGTCCTTTATAATATATAAGTAACAATAAAATTCAATTATTCAAAGCACCTTAATCTGGATAATGGAATTGACACTATGCTAATAATGTGAAACTGTACTTCATTTTCTTAAAAATATTTTCTTCCTCATACTCCAGGTTTTTTGGGATTCAGTTCAGTATCTTTCAAGCATCAGCACACAGACTCAAGTTCTCTAAAACATCCCCTCAAACACGTCTTGTGCACATTAGCTGGAAATCTCTTGGACTTAATGTAAAGCCACACAATTATCTATCAAGACCAGAAAAGCATCACAACATCTGTTATATTTCTATTAGAGGGTTACATTAGTCCACTGCATTTTTATAATATTCTGCAAGTAGCTCTAACTCTTAAAGGCACAAATTAGAATAAATTCATATGCAACAAGTTATACCAGAGTCAATAGGTTAAAAATCTATTTCTTATTCTAAGCTTCAAGAAAATATAAAACTTTTAAACAATCTGTTTAAGGGGATAGGGGCTATACAAGGAAGTCAATAAATTTATTAAACAAAGTATTAAAACCGGTGTCTCTTCCATAAATACTATCCTATCTAAATAGAATTAACATTATTCAAGTAGTACTTTATTATCTTTTGTCATTTTTAGTAAGTTTTCTTGACTATGCTAATGAAAGGCAGCAAATACCAGTATATTTATTTGGTTTCAGAATTGTAAAGGCTGGATAAACTGAGAAAACTGAGGTACACACCTAAACCACCCCCTACCCCAAATCACAATCTCAGAAGGGGGCGTCTGCAAGATGACACCTTCATGACTTCATTTCAGACACTAACTGACTCTACACTAGAAAGGGGTACACGCCTCAGGTTAAAATGCCAGACATGTTTTTATTTAAAGAAATCTCACAATAGTTCTATTTCTAAAATTAGAAAATAACCCCCCCAAACAATGTTCTTACAAAATGTGTTTGTTGTTCTAGGTTCCATTCTAGGCTTCATTTGTGGCAAGAATCACTCAGAATATATATACATGTATATATTTATACTTAATGACAAAATGTATCATTGAAAATAAATAGCAATAACTAAAAGAGTAGTAAATTTCAAATTTCATTTCCCAGAGAAGATGAATTACTAAAGACAATTCTCAGAGATAAAGAGAGGTAAGAACTATATTTAATCCTACCTTCCTGTGTATTATCTTTTTCTATCTAAATTCCCATTCTAAATTCCCATTCAAATTACGGTTACCACTACTTTTGGAGCAACACGTTAATTATGGATTACATTTTTCTATCAAGTGAAACTAAGAACACAGTTTTTAAGGCAAAACTGATACATAATAGTGTTACTAACAACAATGAAGAAAGAGCAACCTCTCCATCCTTTACCTGAAGGTGTGGTGGGCCCATGGGTGGAGGAATCCCTCCCGGAGGAGGCATTGGAGGCATGTTAGGATCAAAAGGAGGACGTCCAAAGGGGGGCCGTGGCGGTGGGGGAGGGCCTCGCATCATGCCAAACGGTGGAGGAGGTCTCATGAGAGGTGGTGGGCCTCGCATCACTGCATTTGGTGGGGGAGCTGGGCCTCGAAACCTCAAGGCCTGCTGTTGAGCCATCCTATGTGGAAAACAATGAATAAATTTTTCTTTCCCAAAATTACAATACAGCTACTGATCTCTAATCACATCAAATTTAATAGGCCCTTAGGAGCAAGTGTAGCTGGAAAGTCATTCTTTTGCAATCATCATAGTAAAATGTGCGCCAGTAAGAATGCTCAATGGACACTAGATCTAGAAGGAAATCTGGATGAAGAGGATATCTGGATGGTCTTAAAATCTGTCTCCCCTCATGCTGGTTATGATTTGCAAGGGAAGATGGAAAAAACCTTTATGTAACAAGGAAATTGCACAGCACCTTGACCAGGGGATCTAAATTAACACCATCTAAAAAAGATAGATGGACATCATCTGAATAGGAGGGACACAACATCACCTATTTCAGGCAAGAATGTGTAACCTCAAATTAATAATGAGAAAATATTAGACAAACACAAAATACGAAATGTTCTATTGAAAAGGGGGGAGCAGAGGCTATGTTGTTCAGAAATACAGAAGTTATATATAAAAGACAAAGGCAAGCTTGGAAATGTTCTACATTAAAGGAGCTGAAGAGACATGGCAATACAACATTAATTCTAGACCAAATCCTGTACTAGAGGGAAGAAATGCTATGAAAAAATACTGGATTGATGGACAGCCCTGGTACATGAACAACAGGTTAAAGCACTGCACCACTGTAAACTTATCAAGTTGGTAACTGCGCTGTAATTAAGCAAAATACATACTTAAGTATTTAAAAGTAAAAGGCCTTGGTATATGCATCTTACCCTCAAACAGTTCAGCGTAACAGAGAGCATGCGTGCGTGCAAATAATAAAGTAAAAGAGGTAAAACATTAACACTAAGTGTACTATATTTTTTGCAACTTTCTGTAAGTTTGACATTATTTCCAAATACAAAGTTTTTACAGGGATGAAGTTAGCAACTTAAGAAATCACTATATTTCTCTATCTAAAGAGAAAGGTTTTTTTTCTTACAGTACCCTACCCCATCCTCTAATCTCTAGTTAAATACCCTAGTTTATATTTTCCATGGTCTTTAAGCAGGTATGTAATATCACATGTTATTTTTCATCTGTCTCCTCTCCCAAGTGCTTTCTAAAAAAATTAAAACTGTTCAGTCTTAACAGTAATTACTATGTGTCAGGCAGTGCTCTGAGCTCTCTTTAAGTCATTTAATCATCACAACAACCCTATGAGAGAGACACTATTATCAACCTTGTTTTACAGATGACACTAAAGGCACTCAGAAATCATATAACTTGCCCAAGGCCACCAAGCTGGTTCGGTGGAAAAGCCAGTATTCAAACACAGGCAAATAGCTCTTACAGCTCTTAAACACTACATCATGCTGTCTACCTAAGCAAGCCCCTCTGGAGCAGGAATTCTGTCCGTCCTGTTCGCCCTTACATCTCCAGCACGTAGTTAGGTCTGCGCAGAGAAGGCCACAGCAAGTATTTGTTGAATGGACAAATGAATACTCATGGAGGTGATAGCTATGCTACTCACAAGTAGGGTAGGTAGAATCTTATAAAGCTTATTTTTACTATAATTTACCACAGTCAATTTACTGAGCACCTATCAGTCTTCCTGGCAGCTACTATAAATCGCTCCATTATATGAAGTTTACATGTCTCAAGAAGTGATTAACAATTATGTTCCTCATGTACGTTTGAAGATAATCATTCTTATATTCTCTTCTCATCAGGCTCTTCCAACTTTCTTACATTTTCAACCCTCTGTTTCAGATTATTCTTTAACTTGTCCTAAATTTTCCACATCACAGTTCAATTCTCAGACACACAAAAAAACCCCTAATAAAATCCAATTTTCCTTTAGAATAGGGCCGTAAACACATCTAGAACTGTATATACCAACTGTATTTAACCAAATTTGCAAATAACCCTACAAAATTAGAAAGTATGAGTTAAAATCAATGACTGCAAAGAGGAATATGGGCTATGTCAGAATACTCTGTCTTTTCCAAACTGTATGTACTCCCAAGACACATGGCTACTGTTACTGAAGAAACAAAGGTAACTAGCAAGGGAAGATACTCTGTTTCAGCCTTGAGTTAACAATGTACTTAGTCTTAACATTTCTTGAGTCTGCCTCTCCCCTTTCAAAAAATCTACAGTATTTCTCTTTCAAATCTCAACACTTCCGAATAGCTTGAAGTTAAGCGTGTACACTCTAAATCATGAAAAAGTCAAATGAGGGCTCTGCCTTTTGCTGTCAGACTGGTTACATAATTTGAGCCTGAGTATGCTCAGATGTAAATGAGCTGAGGAACAGAAATACAACCTAGCCCATATCCCTGTTCAATGACATAACCCCTGTGAAAACATTTCGGATAGTACCTGGCACACAGTAAACCACTTTACCGGTCACTACTTTCAGAAACCTAGCACTGTGTCTGCCTATAAAAGGCACTTCGTTGTCAATTTGACTAGATAGCTTTCAAAATCTGCCACTAAAATAACGACAAAATGCAAGTAATTTCCTGTCAGCAACTTAAATTGCCATCTTCCGATGCCACATAGTATAGCACCTGTGCTGAGCTGTTCATGCGCACTACCTCATCACAACCAACCTACCAGAACTGCAGCAAGGATCAAACGAACTAATAAAGCTGCCCTGGCTGGTGTGGCTCAGTGGATTGAGTGCCAGCCTGTGAACTAAAGGGTCGCCGGTTCATTCCCAGTCAGAGCACATGCCTGGGTTGCAGGCCAGCTCCCCGGTAAGGGGCGCACACGAGAGGCAGCCATACATTGATGTTTCTCTCCCTCTTTCTCCCACCCTTCCCCTCTGTCTAAAAATAAATAAAATCTTTAAAAAAAATGAACTAATAAAACACTTGGAACAGCATTTAGCACATTAGTGCTCTCTAAGTATAGCTTTTACTACTGTTGCTATAATGTTAGTATAGTAGTGGTGTTCATGTTAATTGTATTAGTAATACTACTAGCTATTATTCTCATGACTATAATTATTATTATTAGGCTCTACATAACCTGCCTCTTGTTGAACTCTCTATAGACTCCACTCTTCTTTTTTTTAATCAAATACTTCAAATTCACTACCTTCAAGCCTCTGAGCTTGTTTGCTCTGCCTGGAATACTTTCCCCCAGATCTTCATATAACTGGCCCCTTTTTATCATCAGTCTCAGTTCAAATGGCACCTCACCTCCTTTCCTGCCTCCACCTCTCCCAGACCCTCTCTGGCTCATTACCCAATTTGAGTTTTCAATTATGATAAATGCTACGAAGAAACCTCTCACTTTTTTACTTTTGTATTATACCCACTAGTATGTAGTTTTCCCTTAATACACTGATACATACCAGTGCCTAAGATGATGGGTAATGACAGTGAACACTGGCACTTCCTATAAACCAAGCAGTTACATGGATACTATTTGTACTAACTCTTAATCCTCACAGCAACATAATGAGGTAGGTTTAGAATCAATTTTACAGAGGAAACTAGAGCACAGAAAAATAATTTGTTTAAGTTATCTAGTCAGTGGTAACACCAGAGTACACTTTCTCTTGTATTACAGTTGAGGAAATTTAGACTGCAAGTACCTCATCATAAGATAGTACTAAGTAAACTGAGTAAAAGATCTATACAAACAGGATTCTAGAAAGTATCTTAATGACCCTCAACCATAAAGGGATGAATGACATTTGGATCTCCAAATAAATTGTCTATTGCAGGTTATTTGCATTCCTGCCACTTTCGACCTTTTCAGAAAACAGAAGACTGCTTGCAAAAATAGAAGCACAAATTCTTTTTTTACAAGAACAAAATTTATTTCTCTAGAGGTACTCTATCGAGATATGCAACCCCCCCCCCAAAGGTGAAGACAAGCCTGCAAATACTTTAATAGGAGAAACAAAATGGAAAGAAGCTATTTGATACATGGGAGGCAAATCCAGACTGTGCCAATTACTCAGTGATCTTGTATAGTCACTTCACAATTGCAGGTTGATTTCCTCATTTTTATGCGGTCAGTTTAGTTCAGAACTTAGATCAGTCTTAATTAGCATGGATGTTCCTTGAGGACAAAGGATTTTGGTCTGGCTCAAGGCTCTACTGCCAACACCTAGGTCAATGACTGTCACATAGCACACAATAAATGTGGGTCTAATAAGTGAACCATCTTTAAATTGCCCATATTCATGTATTACCATATATCCACCAAAAATCTTACTTGTCGGACAATGACAGACACACCACCAAATATCTTCAGGATACATATGCAAAAACTAAGCCCCAATTTCTGCCATCAAAGAGACCATATAAACAGCCAATGTATCTTAAACCATGAAAAGTGCCAAAATAAAGGTCTGTACAATATGATCTGAAAGCAACTTCCAACCCGAGGGGCTAGGTATAAAATTTTTTTCCAACAGATCACCTAATTTAAAGCCCTATTCAAGTCAGTTTTGCATCAACATATTAACTGTTAATAAAATTTAAACTCATTGTAAAGCTGAAGAAAGATACTTTCTTAAATGCAAAGTAATGTTCCCAAATAAATCCACGAGAGATTAAGTAACCATCTCTTGAGATCAGAATCAGGAATAAACCTTCCATCACTAATATTGAAAACCCTTGACAATGCATTTGATTACTCATTATCAAAGTGAATACATATATTCGGTTTAAAGTATTTGAGATGATCTCTGAAATAAGACAAGATTTTATTCCTGCCAAAGGAAGGATCTTTGTGTGTGACAATTCAAAATCTAAGACGTATTTTTTGCCCTAAAACTTTGAAAAGCAATACCCATTTCCTAACACAATTTCATCCTGAACTCTAGACAGTAATAGACTGCTCATAACCTACACTGCTCTTTTTCATTTTCTAATGCTGACAGTGGCACAATTCAGAATGGGAGCTAAACAACTGAAATGACATTTTTCCAACCCGGGGGGAGGGAAAAATGTATCAAATACAAATAAAGCTTAGTACCTCTTTTTCCTCAAAAACCACTTGACTAAAGATTTCTCCATCACTTTTACTTTACCAAATCTTAGTTACAAATTCATAGGCAATGAGACAGAAGAAAGGACACTGTACTCTTCAAGGCAAAGGCGTGATAGCGACTGCGGGCTCAGGAGCCCGTCTGTCTGGGTTCAAGTCACTTCCTAGACCTCCCAGTCCACCTCTGCGACCTTGGTCTACCTCCTCGACCTCTAACTGGCTCAGTTTCCTCACCTGTAACATGGGCAAGTAACTTAACTAAAAAATGGCTCTGGCCTGTAACCTGCAAAATGGGAAAAGTAACTACTCGAAAGGGCGGTTGTGAGGATTAAATGAGACAACTCTAAGAGCTTACTGGCACACGGAAGTACATAACAAACGGCCTCTGCTACGGATAAGGGATAAAAAGATAAGAGAAATAAAGGAAGGCCACGAGAAGTTAAGCAAAGCAAGCAATATGGGGAAGAAGGAACCGGGAAAACGTGAAGACCCTAAAGGGCCGCGCGGGCGTGGAGCTGCCCCAGGAGCGGTGAGGGGTCCCGGGGAGTTAACTGCGGAGTGGAGGGGCGTCCTAGAGGAAAACTGGGCCCGGAGCGACGCGCAGCCGTGTCGGCCGGGGCGGAGGCGGCATGCGGCCCAGGCGGGGCCCCAAGGCGGGAACGCCCGGTCCGGCCTAGGGGCTGCAGGCTCGAGGAGCGCTGGGTCCTCCAAAACCGCTAGGAGCACCCCGAAAACGGACAGGAGGCCGCGGCCCTACCCTAGTCCGGCTCTCCCATTCAAGCCACCTTCCCCTTCCCCCTTCTCCAAACCCATGAGGTCTTGGACCCAAGCCGCCGCGGCTCTTCTACCCACCCTCCACCCCGCATTTCCGCCACAGGCCTACCCCCGGGGGTCCAGCATGCCGAGAAGTAATGAAGACGAGCGCCCTTTACCTGAGCTCCCCTGGGTTGAATCGCTCACCGTCCCCCCCGTCCCCGCCACGCTCCGCCATTACAGAAAACCGCGTTCATCCACCCGCCGACCGGGCGTCTTCTATTGGCCAGACAGATCATCAATCTCGTTGGAGAGAGGCGGAGACAGCAGAGATCTGTGACAGGAATGGTGAAGCTTTCCATCAATCCGCGAGCTGAGGGAGGCATCTGCCTTACTATTGGTGAAAGGGCCCGCCGACTTTGAAAGCGGTATGGAGACAGCCAGTTGATTGGTCGCTCGGAGGCTTTATGGGAAATGAGACTTCAGCAACAAGGAACCGCTGGCGCCCTCTCGCGGTAAGCAAAACTAGGTCCTCCCACGTACTGCCTGGCCTGTGGTAGCCACGTGTCTGCCAGCCTCTAGGAAGGTCAATTCTGAAGCCATATTGGCCACAGGCTGGCGGTATGAGCTAAGTCAGAGACTTCCATTGCCTAAGCCAATCAAAAATCGACCTGAGTAGAGCTATAACCAATCACAGAGTTTCTGTGGAACAGAGTTATTTTCCAGCTTTTCAGAATCAGGAGTCTTGAACCATCACCGGATTATAGCCATGTTATTAAATAATATATTATCAACTAAAAAATATATTCTAAATTGTATTAAATAATTAGTGTCAGACTGAAGAGTGTTATAAGTTGCTGCATAAAGTTGGGGAAGGCAAGTCTCTTCACAACCTAAAGTTTGAAGTATCTGTTCTTCAGTTTCTAGAAAATATTAGCAGCTTATTTGTTGGGTTCCTAGTACACTGAACATACTACATAAGCACCCCATTTATTAAGGAACATTTATTGATTCTTTCTTATTTGTAAGACACTGTTTAAAGCACGTTAAGTGTCTTAAAACATTTGAACCTTTATTAAAAACCTATGAAGTAAGCATTGTTATTATTTCTATGTCACAGGTAACAAAAGCACATTGAGTTTAAGTAATGCACCCTGATTCACACGGCTATTCAGTGGGAAAGCTGGAATCCAAACCCATGCTGTCAGGCTGCAGAATCCATGTTTGGAACCACTATGCTCTACTCGAAACCAACAGTTAGAGGGTAAAGTCTCCCCTGCGCTACTGCTACCCTATGTAGACATCTCAGGGCAGCAGGCAATGCTCTTCCAGCATCTCAATTGCATCTACCTTCTAACTGTTACTTCGTCATCCTGTGACCTGATTTACACAAAAGGTTCTCGTCTCCATTGGATCTCAAGATACAAGAAACTCAGAAATCGTTGTATAGTCAATCATTATGTAATATCAGCATCTGGGCTGTCAGGACGAGGCTGAGAATACCTGAGAGGAAGCAAGTGCATCTTTATGAATATATTATGTCCAAAGATGTGTCCTCAGTAATTGTGCACATGTTCAGAATAGCAGAAGACAGAGTATTTGTATTCTCTACCCCCGACACACACATTTTTTTAACTTATAGAGATGAAATCATCCTTTCAATCAGAAAATCAGCTCTAGTCAAGATATATTTGGGGTTGCAAGGGAAATAATTCTATTAATCTATGGACAGGAAGGCTCGTTGCCCTGACCTTTCCAGGGACTGAAAACCTTCAAGAACCCAAGGAGCTTCCCTCCCTGTTCTGCTCCATCTTCTTTCCATGTATCTTTGCCCATTTGCTCTAGCCTCTTCTCTCTGCAAACCCACCTCCTCCCCTCACCCACTCTAGTCACCACACATACAAATTCAACACCCTGGCTCACCTCCCTGCCTGGTGGTATCCCAACATCACTGTCAAGTCTCTGGTTGCCTGTAGGTTCAAATTCTTCAGAAAGAAAATCTGATTGGTCCCTGGCTGGCCAGCACATTAGCTGGTGTGGATTCATATGTCCATCCCTGCACCAGTTTTGTGTAACCAGAGTAAAGTCACAGAGTAGTGCTGACCTTTTCAGAGCCTCAGTTGAGAAAGGCAACAGCATCTGTTTTCTCTAACCACACCTGGGTGATTCAGCCCTTCCCCCAGACTAGCTTCCACCACTGCCCACTCTATTCCACTGCCTGTGAAGCATCCAAACGAAGCTTCTAAAATGCCCTCCACTTAAATTCTTTCAATGGGTCCTCATTGCCCTTGGGACAAAAAACAGACTTGACAATCGAAACTTCGTGTTCGACCTTATGTTGGAGAGCTGACAATGATGGTACTTAAATGCCAAAACTTATAGAAAATCTGATGACTACAAAAGGAAGGATAAAAGAAACCTGTGGCTGTATATTCTAGAAGAAAAGATACTCTGAACAGGACTTATCCAAGTTGGCCAAGTCGAGGAGCCAGGTCACAAAACCCACTGGGGTACAAACAGATAGCCACTAAAAATACCATTTTGAATAAATGTAGAAGGAATGAGGAAGACAGAAAATCACCCTGAAAACATCACCGTGATTATTGGGGCAGCAAAGTCTGCTGATGCACGCTAAATTCAGTGGGTGAAAGTTGAAGGAGAAGCAGGAGATTGCATAGTCTCAAAATCCCCCCACCCAAAACTACAAAACACTGTGGTGGCCTCAATAGATGTTCATGAATTCTTTGGTATTCTTTCCTCCAAATGGTAGAGCTTAATTTCCCGCTCCTTGAGTAGGAGTTTAAATTGGTGCCCTGAGATCTAATTTCCCCTGCATGTGTGGTGGGAGGGACAGGGGCACACAAACAGACAATCCTCAGGCACTAGCAGGGCATCGGGGCAGGCAACTCAATTCTGACAGCTCCTACCCTGGGGCCACATTCCAACCAGCTCGAGGGAGGTCAGCATCGTGGGCCTTACAATCTCAGAGACCTAATGTAACCGCAGAGGATGGCTTCCAATTAAAACATCTTAACTAAAAGCAGGTCATGGTGAGCAGGGATGTCCTAAGCAGGTATCTTTCTTGACCAAGGTCAATCTTTACCTTACGTGAGCCTGTGTACTGTCTTTTTGCATCTACGATAATGGTAACATGCCTTTGGGATGTCAGGGTCATTCCCTTGGTCCAGACCCCTCAGGGCACAGCCTCCCGGCCCTGTACAGACCACGGAGCCCCTCGCTGTCCTCTTTTCTCCACGGAACACCTCCACGAGCTGTTCCTACCACTCCTACCACCTAAATGGTGGGCAAGCAGGTCCACAATACAGCATTTACTCTGAATCTTTATGCCATACTGCTTAAAATTCAGGCAGAAAGGCAAGCGTGAATGTATTTGGAAGGAGACTCCAATGTGTAGGTAGAAACCGAGGAAGCAAACAAGGGCCAGGAAAGGATGCACTAGGGATGATATTTTGGAATTCATACTAGGAACTATATAACTAATGTACAGGGGAGAGGCAGGAGGTGGTCCCAGAAAAATGGATGGGGCTATATTTTATGCTCACCATTAGCGGCCCCGTGCCCACCAATGTAACAGAAGTGCGTATCTCTCCACTTTCCTTTTTATCTACCCCAGAGATGTCCCCATTTTCCTGCCCCCCCCCTTAATCTACCACCATTGGATTTCAAGTGACCCTCCTGTGTTTCTTCCTTTGATTGTAATGTGTGAAATAAACTGCAAAACTGCCATTCTCTGGAGGCTTTTTCTCAACCCATTGAGATTCGGCTTTCTGGCAACTGTCGTCAGTTTGTCTCCAAATAATTCATAAAAATCCACACATCTAGCTAGTGACAGAGACAGGACTAGAACCTCAGCTAAATTTAACTGAAAGCTCTGTCCTTAAAATTTACAAGACTCCTCGCCTGCAATGTGGCATTAAGCACCACACCAGTCTCAGGACTTGGAGTGAGGTAATACATTTTTGTTGCTCTAGCAATAACTCACCATTTTAGAAGTTACTTGAACTCTTCTCCATTGTACAAACGTATCAGACCAAGTGTTCTAATTCTGAGTTCAGAGATCATTCATTTGTTCATTTGGCAAATCCATTTACTTGTCCATCCAGTAAAGAGTAAATGAGCACCAATTTCCAGGAAATGTCAGAGTTGCTAAAGACACGAAAGTCACTGTCATGGCGTACATAGTCTAGAAGAGGAAGCAGACAAACCAAACCTTAGGCAAGACAAATGACTAGTATTTACTAAGTGATTAGCAGGCAGATTATATGAAACTTCTCATTTAATGCATGACAGTTATATACGGTAGCTACTAATTATCCCCACTTCACAGATGAAGTAACTGGGGGATTAGAAATCTAAAGCAAGTTGCCTGAACTCCTACCACCTAAATGGTGGGCAGGGAGGTCCACAATACAGCATTTACTGTGAGTCTTTATGCCATACTGCTTGAAGTTCAGGCAGAAATGCAGGAGTGAATGTATTTGGAAGGAGACTCCAATGTGGAGGTAGAAACCGAGGAAGCAAACAAGGGCCAGGAAAGGATGCACTAGGGATGATATTTTGGAATTCATACTAGGAACTCTACAACTAATGTACAGGGGAGAGGTAGGAGATGGTCCCAGAAAAATGGATGGGGTTATATTTTATTCTCCAGGTGATAAGTTATTATTTAAGGATTATAAGTGGGGAGTGACAGGATCAGCTTTGCTTTTTCAAACGATCTCTCTAACTACAGTGAAAATGATGCTTGCTTAGGGAAAGAATAGAGAGCTATTAAGACTGACCACAATGGGACCTTGAGCTGAGACAATGACAGTGAGGCTGGTGAAGAGGAGACAGTTCAGGAGCTAAAAGGCGGAATCAACAAAACTAGGTGATTGATTGGACTTAAGTGTAGAGTAGGTGGGAGTTTTAGGCAACACTAAAATCTGACTTGGGCAGCTTGGGTTAATACATAAGGATCACTTATTAATGTTACAGATCAAGTTTATAGCTATAACCACAGACATGTATTCTAGGTAGACTTATTCTGCTTTTGAACTTTGATTTACCCTTATCATATTCAGATCCCATTGCTAATAAACTCCATATCACCAGGTACTATAGGACTTTTAGGACAAAATGGAAATGGAAGAATGATCTAATCCACATCCCAGTCACTCACCTTCGAACGTCAAAACTTAATGAGCTTTGAATTAGGAAGTTTCTAGAACTGCCAGGAAAGGTCACAGGTCCCCTTATGCAGAAAAACTTGTTAGGCCAAAGCAAGTGA